ATGTCGGGTTTCAAGATTTTTTGTCGGTCTTCAAGATAAAGAATACTAAATTTGTTATCAATTTTTGTCTATCCTGATTTTGTGGTTAATTTCATGCAGATTTTTAGAAAAAAATCAGTGGTAAACGAAAGGACCCCGCAATATTTAAATGGAAATTGGTTACCCGTAATATTTGAATGAAATTTGAATATGTCATTGGGAATGCCGTAAGCAACATTTTTTACCATGGGCACAACCCTGTATATATGACAGGTGAGGCGTGGTTAGCTGTCAAATATTGGAATCTTATATCCAAAAGCAGAGAACTATGGCAGATTTTGATGAACAAAAAATCTATTTCTACTAAGTCGACCAAGTTAAGTCGAAAAATGTCAACCATTTTGACACCTGTCAAAACCTTGCCAAACGGCAGCACTCATCTTTTCCAGTTTTCAATATTTTATGATGACATTTTTAGCTTGTATGTAAATTCTGAATTAAAAATTTTAAAAAAAAAATGAGAGAACTGTCAAAACCTGTCATTTGTTTTAGTAGAAAAAAAAAACTCTAATCTGGCTCTTTCTCGTTTTAAGGTAGTTTATTGGTGATAAAACATTGAAAAAAGTTCATGCACGTCACATTTTGACAGCTGTCAGAATCTGTCAATAGGTTTAATTCAAAAAAGAATCAAATCTAGTTCTTTTCCAAATTAAGTTGGGCTTATTTATGATAACGCATAAAAAAACATCATACGCAGGTTTCAGATTTGACAGAGATGTCAATTTTCATTTTAAAGTACGTAGTTTTAATATAAAGGATTTTATATAGGTGCCTGCGATTTTTTTTGAGTACTTTAATGAAATCATTATAATACTCAGTACTATAATTAAATCATTAAAATACTCAAACATTTTGACACTCACAAATGAAATCTACAATGATGTGATTTTGACATTTTTGACAAATTGGAAAAAAACTAGATTTGATTCTTTTTTGAATTAAAGCTATTGACAGATTCTGACAGCTGTCAAAATGTGACGTGCATGAACTTTTTTCAATGTTTTATCACCAATAAACTACCTTAACGAGAAAGAACCAGATAAGAGTATTTTTTCTACTAAAACAAATGACAGGTTCTGACAGTTCTGTCATTTTTTTTTTCAATTTTTGAATTCAGAATTTACATACAAGTTAAAAATGTCAGATGACATCATAAAATATTGAAAACTGGAAAAGATGAGTGCTGCCGTTTGGCAGGGTTTTGACAGGTGTCAAAATGGTTGACATTTTTCGACTTAACTTGGTCGACTTAGTAGAAATAGATGTTTTGTTCATCAAAATCTGCCATAGTTACTCTGCTTTTGGATATAAGATTCCAATATTTGACAGCTAATCACGCCTCACCTGTCATATACAGGGTGTCCCACGGTGGATGGCGTATTAGACGTTTATGGAGAACTAAATAGCAAATCATTTTAAAAATTTGGCAACCGGAATAAACGACCATGAACTACACTTTAAAAATATTTTTGTTTATGCGGTGTTGCCGCTTCTACTCCAAACCAGAGGCAACATCGCTATTTTAAATGGAACACCCTTTATGTGATTGCATATTTGGATTCTACGTCAAATTCTGATCAGATTTCATGTGATATACGCTATACCTAAGTTCAACTGTTTTGGAAATATTGACAGTTGAAAATTGACTTTTTGCAACTTTGACAGTCTGTAAAACCTGAACGGTTAATTTTAGACAAAAATCGATTTCACATTCCTATCTTAGATTTTCATGAACTATCATTTGACACCAACTCTGAATTTAACCGGAGATTAATTTTTTTAAATCAGGGATTAAATTGGAAGTTGGTGTCAAATGATAGTTTATAAAAATGTAAGATAGGAATGTAAAATCGGTTTTTCTCTAAAATTAATCGTTCCAGTTTTCCAGCCTCTTAAAGTTGCGAAAAGTCAATTTTCAACTGTCAATATTTCCAAAACAGTTGAAATTAGGTATAGGGTATATCACATAAAATCTGCTAAGAATTTTACGTAGAATCCAAATATGCAATCATATACAGGGTGTTCCATTTAAAATAGCGATGTTGCCACTGGTTTAGAGTAGAAGGGGCAACACCACATAAACAAAAATATTTTTAAAGTGTAGATCATGGTCGTTTATAACGGTTGCCAAATTTTTAAAATGATCCGCTATTTAGTTCATAAACTTCTAATACACCATCCACCGTGGGACACCCTGTATACAGGGTTGTGTCCATGGTAAAAAATGTTGCTTACGGCATTCCCAATAACATATTTAAATTTCATCCAAATATCACGGCCCACGGGTAACCAATTTCCATTTAAATATTGCGGGGTCCTTTATTGTCAGATTCAGAAGGTTTTTTTATGTCTGAAATTTCAAACAAACATATAGTCCGTTGCACGGCACGAGGGTTTTTACTTACGTCATCGATGACGTCATAACCTAGAGAAAAAGTCATAGATTAATTCATAGAGCACCTTCGGAAATATTGTTTTGTAATACATTTTTTAACTTAGAATAGAGTTTATTCAGTTATCCGAAAATATATAAATAAATTTCTCCTGGAGTGATTTTTCACTGGAAAATTTTGAAATTTTCCTCTATTGAGCTCCTCACTTCCTTCTTTCTCCTGTAAAAATTCCAAAATTTTCCCGTTGCCAGTTTTCCAGAGAAAAATTAAAATGTAAGAGGGTGAATTTTGTCTAAATAAGTTAATTTTCTTTGAATTTTTCCTGGAGTGATTTTTCACTGGAAAATTTCGAAATTTCCCTATAATGAGCACATCACTTTTCTTTTTTTCCTGGAAAATGTTCAAAATTTTCCCTTTGCCAGTTTCCCAAAAAAAAAAATTAAATGTGAAAGGGTGAATTTTCCTTAATTTTGCTCAAATAGCTCAATTTTCCAGAATTTTTTCTGGAGTCATTTTTCACTAGAAAATTTTGAAATTTTCTTATATGGAGTGCCTCACTTTCCTTTTTCTTCTGGAAAAATTCCACAAGTTTTGCTTTGCCAGTTTTTCAGAAAAAAATTGAAATGTGAGAGGATGAGTTTTTCTTAATTTTACTTGAAAAAGTCATTTTTTCAGAATTTTTCCTAGAGCGATTTTCCATTGGAAAATTTTGAAATATAATGAGGTCCTGACTTTACCCTTTTTTCTCTTTTGCCAGTTTTCCAGAAAAAAATTGAAATGTGAGAAGATGAATTTTCTTTAATTTTACTTGAAAAAGTCAATTTTCCAGAATTTTCCCTGGAGTGATTTCTCACTGGAAAATTTCGAAATTTCCCTATAATGACCTCCCCATTTTCCTCTTTGTCCTGGAAAATTTTCAAAATTTTCCCTCTGCCAGTTTCCCAGAAAAAAATTAAAATGTAAGAGGGTGAATTTTGCCTAAAAAAGTCAAGTTCCCAGAATTTTTCCTGGAGTGATTTTCTACTAGAAAATTTTGGAATTTTCCTATAATGAGCTCCTCACTTTTCTCTTTTTTCTGGAAAAATTTCACAATTTTCCCTTTGCCAGATTTCTGGAAAAAAATTAAAATGTACGAGGGTGAATTCTTCCTAATTTTGCTTAAAAAAGTTAGTTTTTCAAAATTTTTCCTGGAGTGATTTTTTACTGGAAAATTTTGACATTTTCGTAAAATGAGCTCCTCATTTTCCTCTTATTCCTGGAAAATTTTTCCTTTGTAAGTTTTCCAGAAAAAAATTAAAATGTAAGAGGGTGATTTTTTTTTTAATTTTGCTTAAATAATTCAATTTTTTAGAACATATTTGAAATTTCAGTCCTAAAAAAAAACAAAGAATCACCCTTTGCCGTTTGTACATGATATTTAGGAAGACCCTGTATAATACGCAGTTAATTAATTTATATATTTGGGACTCCAATGATTTTTTAAGGGCCGGTATTTCAATGTCACCTTAAGATATAGAATAAACATAAACATTGACAACATTGTCTGACCTTGTTCGATGACGTCATCTTAAATATACCATAAAAACCGTATATTTTAGGGTAAGTCTTGATTTTAAGATTTTATTGTAATACCGGCCCTGATTGAAAAATTTTGTTCCATAACAATAATAATTGCGAACGAGCTCTATAAATTAATCAACGACAAATACTTTTTTCTAAATGATGACGTCATCGATGACGTAAAAAAAAAATTTGGTTGCACTAATTTTTTATATTAGTGGGTAGTGCCACTGTGAGTAGTGCTATGGTGGTATGCCCAATGGAGGTGCTAATTTTTGCTTTAAGGGTGCTTAGCACCCCCAAACACCTCCCTAGTTGCGCCTATGTTCATGTTGAATTTTATGTAATTTTATAGATTTTAAAGATCAAAGTTTCCAAACATGATTTTCTGTGGGCTATCGTTGATTCTTTGATTCTATGGGTAGTTTCATGCAACGTTCTAGAAAAAGATAGTGAATCATCTGATTCTAAATCCAAGACGCTAAACTCATATGAAAGGAGAGAGAGTATTGAATCCCAAAATCTCATTTTAAACAAAAAATGGAAATGGTCAGTATTGGCGAAAAAAATATAGATTAAGAAAAGTCCATTGAAATTAGTAATTGTTTGAATCCTGCCTAGAAGAACAAAAGGACAGATTCCTTCTTGAAAAATCTTGATGAGGCATAGATAATTCAGTTAAAGTTAGAAGCCAAACGTTTCAGTGCTCTCTGCATCAGACCAGATTTATTAGGTAAAATTATTAAAAAACATAAAATCAACTTTGAATTATGTAACATTGTAAAACATTGAAAATTTTTACATATATTATTCAGATCGGTCACTTTATATCATGCGAAATTACCGCTTTTCCACTACTCGTATAATATGAAAATTACCGCAGGGAGAGACGATTCCTGAGACGTTATCGTATATGCGTTGCGTGCCCGCTTTTAAGCAGTTTATCTTGCGCCAGCATCGGCAAGCGAACAATTTCAGTCAGTCACAGTCACAGGTTCAGCGAGCGCGCTAAAAACAAAACGCCGGAAATTTTGCTTTATTCTTGAGTGTTCGGAAAAAGTGACTTTATTGGTAACTGTGTGCTAGTTTTCCTTGTTAAGATCAATTGGTTTTTAGTTGTAGATATTGGTAAGATGATACTTATATAGGTAATTTTCTCTTTTCATTTTCTGAAACATGAGAGGAGAATAGAAAATACTTTATTTGAAAAATTAATCGAAATGAAACTAATAAAGTTTGCGGCAAAATATATGAATTGAAAGACATAGGTAATTTATATTTATCAGAAAAAGTTATTCAACATGCTATATTTTGAGACTAAAGGGCCTTCCAAACAAACATGGTTGGTTGGTTTCTGTATTGTTCTCAAGGGGAAAAAATCACCCTCATATTAGGGAAGCCAGCCAATGCGTGATTCCAAAAGAATGCAGAGAAAAATTGGTTCTGCTCAAAAGATCCATCTGCAACTAATAATTGTAGCTTTTAAGCTCAAGCACGTTTCTCTTCGTCACCAAAAATAATAAAACGCTTTTTGTTACCTCAGCAGCAATAACTCGTATTCTTATTACCGTGCAAAGCTAAGCAGGAATTTTTGTTACTTTGTACTCTGTTGTAAAATATGTAATTTTTTTTAATGACTATATTGTTTTGATGTATAATTACTTTCTTTAATTAGAGAATCTTGAAACCTCGGTATCATATTAATGTGGTTGCCAAGAAATTTTATGGTCTACACTATGCCCCAGTTTTTCCTGGTCGATATTATACCCCTTTTAGTAGTTCATTGGACTGAGGTGAAATAACACAAAGTATAAACTATCTAATTCAAATAGTAAACATTACTAAACAAACAAGATAGGTTTTCTGACATAATTTTAAGTAAATATTAAGGCAGTTCACAGTTATTTGATGTGATGCCATAATCCAGTTTTTGGATGAGGCCAGTTGCCAAAAAAATTTATTTTAGCCAGGATGATTTGCATATGAAAAAAACAATGTGTTACAGGTTGGCCTAGAACATAATCATCATTTCGTATGTTGAAATTGTGATTAGATTAAATGGCAAATAAAAGAGTAGGTAGGTACTATTGTGCCAGTGGCGGATCTACGCTCTATTGTATGCCTCAAAATTGTTCTGGGTTTTCCAAATATAAGGCCACAAAGTTGAAACTTTATCTCAACGCTTCAAAGTCGATTTTCTTGGAGGTTGGCTTGAAGCACCAAACACTCTTTTCGGTGGCCCAAATTGAGCAATTTGGAAAATGGTTATAGAATGAAGTAGTTCTGGAGCAGTTCAAGAATATTTCTGCTGATCATTTATCATTTCTAATTCAATATCTGAAGAATGTTTTTGACTTAAAGACACAGCTTCATCTTTTATTTTCAGCATTTTTATTTCGTGCAGCAATCTTTACAGCATCAATTTAGCTCTTCGATATTCACTCGGACCTTTTTCAGCTTCAATTTTGTTACCATCCCTGTCCTGAATTTCCATTTCAGGAAATGAAGCAACTGAAAACTTCAATAGTTTCCATAATTTATTACTTTCAGGCAGTTCTTTTGCACTGTTTCAGACTTCAGAGATTTTCACAGTTGAATTTCAGTTTCATCAGCCATTGCAAACCGCTCTGGTTCGATTTTGGCTCTAGTAGAACAATTAATTGATTTCTAATTTAAATTAAGGCTCTAGAAGAACCAATTGTGAGATTCCTAAGATTCTCTAGTTGAGTTTCAGCTCTATTAGCCTCTAAAATGGCCTTTGTGAGCCGCTCTGGCATAACTCTAAGTCAAAAATGGTGAGAAACCAACATTTTATATTACTCTAGTGAAATTTTGGCCAAAGTAGAGCCAAAAATAGGGTCATTGGTTCATATTCTAATTTTAGGAGAGCCAATTGTCAGATTTTCTAAGAGTCTCGTTTCTTAGTTTTATCATCTTTAATGACAAGAAATTGAAGCCTCAAACCCCTCTCGTACGAATTTGGCTTAAGTGGAATCAGAAATGTATTTCTTATCCAAAAAATTTAAATTATTTGATTTTTCCAGGTTTTTGGGTCCATCTTCCTTGACTTTTCTGAAGCTGCTGCTCCAAAAATGCATTGAATTTTTACATAAAGCCTACAATATATTCATTTTCATGTTGTAGATTCCAAGTAAAGAGTAAATTTCATTATTAAATTGTTCTTTAACTGTTTTTTTGACCTGTGTATCAGCTTTTTGAGCTACAATTTGATCCCTCTGTTTCAAAAAATGTAGCAACCAAAACTTGTAGTTTGATTTTAATAATCTTTCACCATAATAAACACAAATCCGCCACTGAAAACTACATTTTTATTGTTCCACAAAATAAATTTTGCTCTTATCTCTATAACAACATAAATTAATCATTATTACCTTAATAGTCACGATACATGATGAATTTGTAATCTTTTTTGATGATAAAGAGTATGATTCAATAGACCAAATGCCTGTCGATCTTAATTGGTGTTTTCTTTGTTTCTTAGATGTTTGATGAGTAACGTGTAGGTATTTTATTATTACTAAATATGAGTGCATTTCATCGTTAGGATAATAAACCTTTTAAGGTTGATTAACTGCGTGAGAAACATTTATTATAAATACTGATTATTGTTGATCAAATTTAGTTTCAGTCATTGCGAAAGTAAGTGTACAAGTTCTGTTTTTTGAAAATTTGATTTTTCCAGAATAATATTGACACTTATTTTGCCTCGCCACTTTATTAATTTCAATCCGATCCTGATGAAATTAGGCTCGAATTAAAGACAATTGAATCCTCTACAAATCTCTATGAGGTAGTTTTAACACTAATTCAATAGTTTTCAAGCTGTGAAGCTTCAAAGTGTTTTACTTGGATTTTCATCAAGGTGGATGAACAGAAGGAAATTTTCAATTTTTTTCCTAAATTTCATTTGCAAAATTTCAATCCAATCCCTGCAATGTTTTCCTTAAAGAAAAATAAAACGTCTTTCAATGTAGTTTTTAGGAACTTTGATTTTTTCCAAAATGACATTGACACACCGTTTCGCTCACAACTTTTTTAATTTCAATCCGATCCTAATGTTATTAGGCTTGAATTAGGGACAATTGAATCCTCTACAAATCTCTATTTGGTGGTTTCAATGCTGCTTCAATAGTTTTCAAGCTGTGAAGCTTAGAAGTGTTTTTACTTGGATTCTTATCAAGGTGGATGAGCAAAAGGAATTTTTTATTTTTTTTCCTAAATTTCAATCTTTTCTCTCTCCATTTGCAAGATTTCAATCCAATCCCATGCAAAATTTTGCTCGAAGAAAAATAAAACCTTGTCATTGTTAATTTTGGAACTTTAATTTTTTCCAAAATGTCATTGACACACATTTTCGCTCACAACTTTTTAAATTTCAATCCGATCCTAATGTAATTAGGCTTGAATTAAGGACAATTGAATCCTCTACAAATCTCTATTAGGTGGCTTCAATGCTGCTTCAATAGTTTTCAAGCTGTGAAGCTTAGAAGTGTTTTTACTTGGATTCTTATCAAGGTGGATGAGCAAAAGGAATTTTTTATTTTTTTTCCTAAATTTCAATCTTTTCTCTCTCCATTTGCAAGATTTCAATCCAATCCCATGCAAAATTTTGCTCGAAGAAAAATAAAACCTTGTCATTGTTAATTTTGGAACTTTCATTTTCTCCAAAATGTCATTGACACACATTTTCGCTCACAACTTTTTTAATTTCAATCCGATCCTAATGTAATTAGGCTTGAATTAGGGACAATTGAATCCTCTACAAATCTCTATTGGGTAGTTTCAATGCTGCTTCAATAGTTTTCAAGCTGTGAAGCTTAGAAGTGTTTTTACTTGGATTCTTATCAAGGTGGATGAGCAAAAGGAAATTTTTATTTTTTTTCCTAAATTTCAATCTTTTCTCTCTCCATTTGCAAGATTTCAATCCAATCCCATGCAAAATTTTGCTCGAAGAAAAATAAAACCTTGTCATTGTTAATTTTGGAACTTTCATTTTCTCCAAAATGTCATTGACACACATTTTCGCTCACAACTTTTTTAATTTCAATCCGATCCTAATGTAATTAGGCTTGAATTAGGGACAATTGAATCCTCTACAAATCTCTATTTGGTGGTTTCAATGCTGCTTCAATAGTTTTCAAGCTGTGAAGCTTTGAAGTGTTTTTACTTGGACTTTTATCAAGGTGGGTGAGCAGAAGGAAATTTGTAATTTTTTTCCTAAATTTCAATCTTATCTCTCTCGATTTGCAAGATTTCAATCCAATGCATACAAAATTTTCCTCAAAGAAAAATAAAACCTTGTCATTGTTAATTTTGGAACTTTAATTTTTTCCAAAATGTCATTGACACACATTTTCGCTCACAACTTTTTTAATTTCAATCCGATCCTAATGTAATTAGGCTTGAATTAGGGACAATTGAATCCTCTACAAATCTCTATTTGGTGGTTTCAATGCTGCTTCAATAGTTTTCAAGCTGTGAAGCTTTGAAGTGTTTTTACTTGGACTTTTATCAAGGTGGGTGAGCAGAAGGAAATTTGTAATTTTTTTCCTAAATTTCAATCTTATCTCTCTCGATTTGCAAGATTTCAATCCAATGCATACAAAATTTTCCTCAAAGAAAAATAAAACCTTGTCATTGTTAATTTTGGAACTTTAATTTTTTCCAAAATGTCATTGACACACATTTTCACTCACAACTTTTTTAATTTCAATCCGATCCTAATGTAATTAGGCTTGAATTAAGGACAATTGAATCCTCTACAAATCTCTATTTGGTGGTTTCAACGCTGCTTCAATAGTTTTCAAGCTGTGAAGCTTTGAAGTGTTTTTACTTGAACTTTTATCAAGGTGGGTGAGCAGAAGGAAATTTGTAATTTTTTTCCTAAATTTCAATCTCATCTCTCTCGATTTGCAAGATTTCAATCCAATGCATACAAAATTTTCCTCAAAGAAAAATAAAACCTTGTCATTGTTAATTTTGGAACTTTAATTTTTTCCAAAATGTCATTGACACACATTTTCGCTCACAACTTTTTTAATTTCAATCCGATCCTAATGTAATTAGGCTTGAATTAGGGACAATTGAATCCTCTACAAATCTCTATTTGGTGGTTTCAATGCTGCTTCAATAGTTTTCAAGCTGTGAAGCTTTGAAGTGTTTTGACTTGGACTTTTATCAAGGTGGGTGAGCAGAAGGAAATTTGTAATTTTTTTCCTAAATTTCAATCTTATCTCTCTCGATTTGCAAGATTTCAATCCAATGCATACAAAATTTTCCTCAAAGAAAAATAAAACCTTGTCATTGTTAATTTTGGAACTTTAATTTTTTCCAAAATGTCATTGACACACATTTTCGCTCACAACTTTTTTAATTTCAATCCGATCCTAATGTAATTAGGCTTGAATTAGGGACAATTGAATCCTCTACAAATCTCTATTTGGTGGTTTCAATGCTGCTTCAATAGTTTTCAAGCTGTGAAGCTTTGAAGTGTTTTTACTTGGACTTTTATCAAGGTGGGTGAGCAGAAGGAAATTTGTAATTTTTTTCCTAAATTTCAATCTTATCTCTCTCGATTTGCAAGATTTCAATCCAATGCATACAAAATTTTCCTCAAAGAAAAATAAAACCTTGTCATTGTTAATTTTGGAACTTTAATTTTTTCCAAAATGTCATTGACACACATTTTCGCTCACAACTTTTTTAATTTCAATCCGATCCTAATGTAATTAGGCTTGAATTAAGGACAATTGAATCCTCTACAAATCTCTATTTGGTGGTTTCAACGCTGCTTCAATAGTTTTCAAGCTGTGAAGCTTTGAAGTGTTTTTACTTGGACTTTTATCAAGGTGGGTGAGCAGAAGGAACTTTGTAATTTTTTTCCTAAATTTCAATCTTTTCTCTCTCGATTTGCAAGATTTCAATCCAATGCATACAAAATTTTCCTCAAAGAAAAATAAAACCTTGTCATTGTTAATTTTGGAACTTTCATTTTCTCCAAAATGTCATTGACACACATTTTCGCTCACAACTTTTTTAATTTCAATCCGATCCTAATGTAATTAGGCTTGAATTAAGGACAACTGAATCCTCTACACATCTCTATTTGGTAGTTTCAACGCTGCTTCAATAGTTTTCAAGCTGTGAAGGTTTTAATTATTTTTACTTGGATTTTCATCAAGGTGGATGAGCAGAAGGAAATTTTCAATTATTTTTCATAAATTTCAATCTTTTTTTTTCCATTTGCAAAATTTCAATCCAATTCCTGCAAAATTTTTCTCAAAGAAAAATAAAACGTCTCGCAATGTCGTTTTTTGGAACTTCGATTTTTTCCAAAATGCCATTGACACACATTTTCGCCTACAACTTTTTCAATTTCAATCCGATCCAAATGTAATTAGGTTTGAATTAAAGACAACTGAATCCTCTACAAATCTCTATTTGGTAGTTTCAACGCTGTTCCAATAGTTTTCAAGCTGTGAACCTTAAAATGTTTTTACTTGGATTTTTATCAAGGTGGATGAGCAGTAGAAAATTTTCAATTTTTCTCATAAATTTCAATCTTTTTTTTCTCCATTTGTAAAATTTCAATCCAATCCCTGAAAAAATTTTCTCCTAGAAAAATAAAATGTCTCTCAATGTCGTTTTTTGCAACTTTGATTTTTTCCAAAATAACATTGACACACATTTTCGCTCACAACTTTTTCAATTTTAATCCGATCCTAATGAAATTAGGCTCGAATTGAAGACAATTAAATCCTCTACAAATATCTATTTGATAGTTTCAACGTTGCTTCAATATGTTTCAGGCTATGAAGCTTCAAAGTCTTTTCACTTGGATTTTTAATAAAACAATGTGAGAAGGTTACTTATGTATATTTTCGGGATATTTTCCATGCTCTTAAAATTATATTATTTATACTTAGAAAAACAATTAACAGGCTTATTATTACTAATAAGCATTAACACCTTTAATGATTATTACCATGATTCATTTGGTACTAAAAACCCAAACTTAATTATCACAAACAAACCTATTTTGTTCCAGAATAACTCATCTTTATCACCAATCGAGCTGAAAATGTAGAAGTTGACTATGAAAAGACCTACACAAAAGACCGTCCATAGTTCGAAACTAATCTTATTAATATTAATTCAGCTAGTTACCGGAGCTTTTGGGACCAGCGATGACATCACGAACATTTGGTTTTTTGGGTGCCGTTGGTTCGGAGGCATCACCAACATGCTGTCTTGCAATTGTGCACCGGAAGCAGAAGAGGTCAGTATAGAAAAACCATTCAATAACTGTAAACACTCTTATCAAAATTCCGCTTAATTGATTTTAATTCTCGACAATTTCAATTAACCTAATGAGCCGAATATAATGGCAGTGATTGGGACCAAGTGGTACTTTTGTCGGGCGCGCGATCTTCTTATTAAGAAAATCCGCTTCTTTACACTTACACACTTTAATTGTTCCAGATGTACATCCAGAGAAACTCGATTCCAGCCTATGACGTTAGTAACATAGAAATCAGCAATTGCTCAAAAGTACGCTTCGGACCAAAATCAGTGTATGATCTCAATAATTTACGACAAATAACATTAAACAATATCCAATCACTTGTTTTCGAAGCCAACAGCTTAGAATGGGTCGGATATAAAGATTCAATAGACAACCAGGAAAGATTTCAAGTTAATACGCCTAGTCTGAAAGTGTTTGTTAAAAATAGTCTAAATGTTAATATAGGTTCGCACAGTATGGTTGGTAGAATAAGTGAAATAAATTTCGAAAATGTCCTCATAGAAAAAATCGATGCTTTTGCATTTTCAAACTTAGTACAAATGGAAAACTTAATTTTCACTAACGTGCAACTTAAAAATGTTAACTCCCAAGCCTTTAAACGATTTGGAACTGAATTCATGATCCTAGATGGAGTGAAAGCAGATTACCTACCCAGCAGGACCTTTTTAAATGTAACAGTCTACAGGGATTTCATTATAAGAAATTGCCAATTCAACACTCTACACAGTGGAACATTTAGGATCAACCATCCTACAAATTTTGCCATAACCAACTCACAAATAAACGACCTACAAGGACAAGCCTTTCTAGTATCAACAACTGGCAATGTTATTATAAGAAACAACTTTTTCAATAATGTGCAAGATTATGCTTTCAAAGGAATCACCAATGAAATCAGCAGGGTAAACACTATACATTTTGACTCTAACACTTTTGGCTCATTAAATCGCCGCTCTTTGGACTTGCAGCCTCAATTCGAAGCTCGAGTATCCAATTTGAACCTCAATCAAACATGCGATTGTGATTCAATAGTCGAAAAACTACAAACTGATTTTTATGATGAAATTCGTTGTTTATATCAAGAAGAATACATAACAGTGAAAAACTTTAAAAGTCAAAATTGTTCGGTATTAGCGGGTTACTATACAATAATGATAGTAGTTTGTGTCGCGATTTCAGTGATAAGTATCGTGGCTATATCGTTTTACGTTTATTATGTTTTGGTGTACAAAAGACAAAAATATGGTTGTGAGAAAGGAGGGAAAGCTCCATTGAGTTTAATCGTGCCCGATGGGAGGACTTATAAGGAAACCGAGTTGCACGTTATCGTGGAAAAGGCCGACTTGTTAACAACCGATCTTTGATTTGTTAATTTTTATCAGTATTTCTTGTAAATAATGTTAATTATTATTTTCTAATACTTAATTTATATCTTCTGTGATTTCTGTTTAATTTTATTTATTGAGACATTGTTTTTCCAATTCAGTTTTCTAGCTAGAGTATCGTTAAATAAGAATTCCTAATAAATGTCCCAAAGATAACCAAATAAATACAATTCAAAAAGGCAGTTTTTTTTTTTGCAAATAATAAAAACAAATAATAATAGCAATAAAAATATATTCAGAGCATAAAATCTTACCTGTAAGGTAGCATTCCATCTAATGCTTGTGTCACTGTAGGAGGGGAGCTTAAAGCTAATCCTTTGGATAGTAGGGAGCTGTGATCCGAAAATATTTGCGTAGCCACTGATTCTGCACTTTCCATATCTGCATCTCCTTCATCTGAAATAATCACCTCTGTTTCAGCAAAAAAAAAACAACACACTTACAATCACTTACCTCCAACAACAGGCAACAACAAATCCTTCTTCATTAAACTAGCAGCGCATAATCCGCCCAAAAACGATAGTTCAGCCTCCAAATGCTTCAATCCTGTGTAGAAATTCGTATCAGGAGGCCACTCGTAGCCAATCACTAAGCATTTGAAACCGTAGGCACTGGCACGGTCATCTTTCAAGTAATCTGAGGCAGTTTCCAGAGAAAATACCACTTCATTTCCTGGAAGGATTACAGCGTTTGAGGGCCACTGCAAACTAAAACAAAAATTGAAGCCTCAATTAAAAAAAATAATAATAATAGTAAAAATTACCTTCCACTAAATTTATGCAGAACAGGCCAATAAGGCAACGGTGGCGAGTCTAAATCGTCTAAAATATTCACAGTAAGACTTTTTCTACGATAACTAGAAGCAAAATCTATTGCAGGAATATAAAGTTGCAAAGAATCTTCTGGCTGAGCTGTGGCGCAAGCTGAATCAAACTCAAGCGAGATCCATTTAACACAATCCGGGAAAAGAACCCTAAAAAATGTTATTAAACAAACAAACAATAATCTAAAAAAATGAGTCTTACCTGTAATTGGCAACTGAAGCAGGTTTATAAGGATGCTCACTCTCAACCCAAGTATAATGATTACTAGTAGTAGTTATTTTACCATCGCAAGCTTCTTGATTAGATAAATTCGATCCCAAAAGTGCTTTATTGCTTATGGGAATGTTGGGAGTTGGAGATCCAAGAAGATTTAGAGCTGCCACATGAGGCAGCAGTTCTTGAATCAGGCCCAATACTTGAACTGCACTCTAAGTGAAGCAAAAATTAAAAAACTATTCGAAAAATATTAAATATTCTTACTTTAGGATCACTAGAAGCCAAAGGACTGACATGAGCCAATACCAAAGGCAACAGAGTTTTGACAATGCAAGAATCACTTAAAATGTTTGCTGCAGGTAGTTCTTCAACTTTCTCTCTGGCCAGCATCATTAGCTTCGAGGCATTTTGTATTATTGAGCTGGTCATTGTTAAAGCTGCCTTTCTCGCTTGATATTCCAATTTGGACGTAGATGTTTTGCCACACTCAATAGGGTTGCTGTAATACAATAAAATTGGTATTTGGCCTCTGGTAAGGGTAGTTCCATTGAAGCTTATAGAACATGTTGAAAATGTGAAAGTGGTATTATCCGATCCTTTGACTGAATTTAATCCTCCATCGCCATTGTTGGTCCTACCTCCATGATTTCTTAGTCTTACAGCGTATTTTACATTTTCCTATAATAAAACAGCTCAATTGAAAATCAATAAAACTGATCTCAAAGCAGAACTAGCACAAGTACATTACGAAAGTAATTATAAGTATGAAATAAATACATATTTAATAGAAAATTTCAATGCAATTTACTCAACGGTTACCGAGCAATTGAGGTTTGAAGATTTTGCAATTAAAATTCAAAGGGGTATCATCTTTGGGTATCCCTTATAAAAAACTCAGTTTTTTTTTTTCACTTTTGCTCAATTTTGACTTTAACAATCGATAGAGCGGGTCAAAATTAGTGGAAAACAACCCTGACATCATTTGCAAATGGCCATTTTAAACAGAAACAAAAATAACAAGAAAATCTTATTTTTGGCTCTGGAAAATTTTCAAAATCTTGACATGTCTTGAACAATTGCCCATATCTTTGTTAAATTTTGAGCAAATTAAAATAAATTATACACCATTGGAAAGAGCATTAAAATCTCTATAAATCCGTGCAAAATTGAGTTTGATAGCTCAGGAAGTTTTTGAGGAATTGAGCCTCTAAGTTGACTTTTAGTCTAAATTTTGTCAAAAACTTCAAACTCAATTTTCTCAAAACTGTAAACCTGGGAATATATTACAGGTCTTTTAGAGGTTAATAAGAGCTACAAATGCTGAAAATTTCAATGAAATTTGCTCAACTGTTACCTAGCAATTGAGGTTTGAATATTTTGAAATCAGAATTCAAAGGGGGGTACCCTTATGAAAAACTCGATTTTTTTATTTATATCTTTGTTGAATTTCCAGGCAAATTGAGATAAATTATATACCATTGGAAACAGCATTAAATTCTTCATAAATCTGTGCAAAATTGAGTATAGTAGCTCAAATAGTATCTGAGCAATTGAGCCTCAAAGTTGACTTTTAGGCCAAAATTTGTCAAAAACTTCAAACTCAATTTTCTCAAAAACTCTAATCATGGGAATATTGTAAATTACAGGTCTTTTAGAGATTAATAAGAGCTACAAATGCTGAAAATTTCAATGAAATTTGCTCAACTGTTACCTAGCAATTGAGTTTTGAATATTTTGAAATCAGAATTCAAAGGGGGTACCCTTATGAAAAACTCGATTCTTTTATTTATATCTTTGTTGAATTTCCAGGCAAATTGAGATAAATTATATACCTTTGGAAACAGCATTAAATTCTTCATAAATCTGTGCAAAATTGAATATAGTAACTCAAATAGTATCTGAGCAATTGAGCCTCAAAGTTAACTTTTAGGCCGAATTTTGTCAAAAACTTCAAACTCAATTTGCTCAAAAATTATAAACCTAGGAATATTGTAAATTAAAGGCTATTTAGAGCTTAATGAGAGCTACAAATGCTGAAAATTTCAATGCAATTTGTCCAATGGTTACCGAGCAATTGAGGTTTGAATATTTTGAAATCGGAATTCAAAGGGGGTCCCCTTATGAAAAACTCGATTCTTTTATTTATATCTTTGTTGAATTTCCAGCAAATTGAGATAAATTATACACCATTGGAAACAGCATTAAATTCTTCATAAATCTGTGCAAAATTGAGTATAGTAGCTCAAATAGTATCTGAGCAATTGAGCCTCAAAGTTGACTTTTAGGCCGAAATTTGTCAAAAACTTCAAACTCAATTTGCTCAAAAATTATAAACCTAGGAATATTGTAAATTAAAGGCTATTTAGAGCTTAATGAGAGCTACAAATGCTGAAAATTTCAATGCAATTTGTCCAATGGTTACCGAGCAATTGAGGTTTGAATATTTTGAAATCGGAATTCAAAGGGGGTCCCCTTATGAAAAACTCGATTCTTTTATTTATATCTTTGTTGAATTTCCAGCAAATTGAGATAAATTATACACCATTGGAAACAGCATTAAATTCTTCATAAATCTGTGCAAAATTGAGTATAGTAGCTCAAATAGTATCTGAGCAATTGAGCCTCAAAGTTGACTTTTAGGCCGAAATTTGTCAAAAACTTCAAACTCAATTTGCTCAAAAATTATAAACCTAGGAATATTGTAAATTAAAGGCTATTTAGAGCTTAATGAGAGCTACAAACGCTGAAAATTTCAATGCAATTTGTCCAATGGTTACCGAGCAATTGAGGTTTGAATATTTTAAAATCGGAATTCAAAGGGGGTCCCCTTATGAAAAACTCGATTCTTTTATTTATATCTTTGTTGAATTTCCAGCAAATTGAGATAAATTATACACCATTGGAAACAGCATTAAATTCTTCATAAATCTGTGCAAAATTGAGTATAGTAGCTCAAATAGTATCTGAGCAATTGAGCCTCAAAGTTGACTTTTAGGACGAATTTTGTCAAAAACTTCAAACTCAATTTGCTCAAAAATTATAAACCTAGGAATATTGTAAATTACAGGTCTTCTAGAGGTTAATAAGAGCTACAAATGCTGAAAATTTCAATGCAATTTGTCCAATGGTTACCGAGCAATTGAGGTTTGAATATTTTGAAATCGGAATTCAAAGGGGGTCCCCTTATGAAAAACTCGATTCTTTTATTTATATCTTTGTTGAATTTCCAGCAAATTGAGATAAATTATACACCATTGGAAACAGCATTAAATTCTTCATAAATCTGTGCAAAATTGAGTATAGTAGCTCAAATAGTATCTGAGCAATTGAGCCTCAAAGTTGACTTTTAGGCCGAATTTTGTCAAAAACTTCAAACTCAATTTGCTCAAAAATTATAAACCTAGGAATATTGTAAATTACAGGTCTTCTAGAGGTTAATAAGAGCTACAAATGCTGAAAATTTCAATGCAATTTGTCCAATGATTACCGAGCAATTGAGGTTTGAATATTTTGAAATCAGAATTCAAAGGGGTACCCTTATGAAAAACTCGATTTTTTCATTTATATCTTTGTTGAATTTCCAGCAAATTGAGATAAATTATACACCATTGGAAACAGCATTAAATTCTTCATAAATCTGTGCAAAATTGAGTATAGTAGCTCAAATAGTATCTGAGCAATTGAGCCTCAAAGTTGACTTTTAGGACGAATTTTGTCAAAAACTTCAAACTCAATTTGCTCAAAAATTATAAACCTAGGAATATTGTAAATTACAGGTCTTCTAGAGGTTAATAAGAGCTACAAATGCTGAAAATTTCAATGCAATTTGTCCAATGGTTACCGAGCAATTGAGGTTTGAATATTTTGAAATCGGAATTCAAAGGGGGTCCCCTTATGAAAAACTCGATTCTTTTATTTATATCTTTGTTGAATTTCCAGCAAATTGAGATAAATTATACACCATTGGAAACAGCATTAAATTCTTCATAAATCTGTGCAAAATTGAGTATAGTAGCTCAAATAGTATCTGAGCAATTGAGCCTCAAAGTTGACTTTTAGGCCGAATTTTGTCAAAAACTTCAAACTCAATTTGCTCAAAAATTATAAACCTAGGAATATTGTAAATTACAGGTCTTCTAGAGGTTAATAAGAGCTACAAATGCTGAAAATTTCAATGCAATTTGTCCAATGATTACCGAGCAATTGAGGTTTGAATATTTTGAAATCAGAATTCAAAGGGGTACCCTTATGAAAAACTCGATTTTTTCATTTATATCTTTGTTGAATTTCCAGCAAATTGAGATAAATTATACACCATTGGAAACAGCATTAAATTCTTCATAAATCTGTGCAAAATTGAGTATAGTAGCTCAAATAGTATCTGAGCAATTGAGCCTCAAAGTTGACTTTTAGGCCGAAATTTGTCAAAAACTTCAAACTCAATTTGCTCAAAAATTATAAACCTAGGAATATTGTAAATTAAAGGCTATTTAGAGCTTAATGAGAGCTACAAATGCTGAAAATTTCAATGCAATTTGTCCAATGGTTACCGAGCAATTGAGGTTTGAATATTTTGAAATCGGAATTCAAAGGGAGTACCCTTATGAAAAACTCGATTTTTTCATTTATATCTTCGTTGAATTTCCAGCAAATTGAGATAAATTATACACCATTGGAAACAGCATTAAATTCTTCATAAATCTGTGCAAAATTGAGTATAGTAGCTCAAATAGTATCTGAGCAATTGAGCCTCAAAGTTGACTTTTAGGCCGAAATTTGTCAAAAACTTCAAACTCAATTTGCTCAAAAATTATAAACCTAGGAATATTGTAAATTAAAGGCTATTTAGAGCTTAATGAGAGCTACAAACGCTGAAAATTTCAATGCAATTTGTCCAATGGTTACCAAGCAATTGAGGTTTGAATATTTTGAAATCGGAATTCAAAGGGGGTCCCCTTATGAAAAACTCGATTCTTTTATTTATATCTTTGTTGAATTTCCAGCAAATTGAGATAAATTATATACCATTGGAAACAGCATTAAATTCTTCATAAATCTGTGCAAAATTGAGTATAGTAGCTCAAATGGTGTCTGAGCAATTGAGCCTCAAATTTGACTTTTAGGCCAAATTTTGTCAAAAACTTCAAACTCAATTTGCTCAAAAATTATAAACCTAGGAATATTGTAAATTAAAGGCTATATTAGAGCTTAATGAGAGCTACAAATGCTGAAAATTTCAATGCAATTTGTCCAATGGTTACCGAGCAATTGAGGTTTGAAGATTTTGGAATCAGAATTCAAAGGAAGTATACCCTTATGAAAAAACTCAATTTTTCTATTTTTCAGTTTTGCTCAATTTTAACTTTATTAATCCATAGAGCGGGTCAAAATTAGTGAAAAAAAACTCTGACATCATTTCCAAATGGCCATTTTAGGTAGAAACAAACATAAACTCTATTTTTGGCTCTGCAAAAATTCTCAAAATCTTGACATGGTCATGAGCAACTGCCCATCAAGCTAATTTACTTCAAATATTAACAGCTCTATCTAAAAGTTACCTTAATTGGAACGGCTCTATCAAATTTAACTTCCACAACGTCTGGAGCAAAATCCTCAGGCCCGAACGAACCGCGCGTTATTTCCAAACTGTTCCAGCGATGAGCTGCGTGATTTTCCAAGCCAGAACTCAAACTAGTGTCTTCTAACAGCTCCAATTCGTACTCGTAATGGCCGATACCGCCGTAAATACCAACCCCTACTATAGAAATACCAGCCCTATCCACCTGGAAGCAAATCGCGTCAGGGGAACCATTTCCAGTGTTCCAAGTTCTGGATTGATTGGTTCTTGTGAATCTTGACGGGGTCATGTGAAGGATTCTACCGCAAGCACTTTGAAGATCTTCCTATAATAATTCATATAGTTTGATGGCAAAAAATTACTATAAATCTTACGTCAGATGAACTGCATTGGTGTACCAACTCAGCTAGAACTCTAGCCAGCAAATGACAGCAATATTTCGAGAGCTCAGAAAGTGCTACAGTTGTTTGTTTTTGTAGGATCTTCAATATTGGATCAGAGACTAGATTTATTAGTCTTTCTAGTACATCAGACCAAGTCCAAGTCAAACCAGTGTAAGTAGATTCCATCTGTGAACAAAATACAAATTAAAAAAAAAAAAATTAAAATATTCTTAACAACCCTTACTTGACTCTTATAACTCATTTGTTCAACCAAAATAGGATAATTATGACTATCACTAACACTCATCATAGGATGTCCGGTGTTATCAGAAGGGCTTAGTCCTCGATGCAATGAATTTTCATTACTCTGATTGCCTCCCAATAAAGGAAAAGTGCCACGTAGCCTTACAGAGGGTGCACAAAGGGCACAAAGGACGGCGCTTAAAAGCATTTGATTGTTGGAAGGGCTGTGAGGATTATAGGCTTCAGTTGTTTCAGCCAATAAATCACACAAACAAGTCCACTTTAGGTAAGCTGTTGGGTAAAAGGCATGAAAGCAACTGACAAAAGTGTTGTGGCACTCTTGTAAAATGCTGTTCATCAATGCGACGCTGTAGCTTTTCGTTTTGCTGGATTTTTTGTTTTGCATCAATAAAGGTATGTTGTCTGATAGTATTTGCTTCAGTAAAAATCTGACATCGCCTATGCATTCGGCTAAGTGAACATTTTCCAAGGGAGCTTTTCTATTTATTTGCCTATGAAAAGTTTTGTTAACAATTATTCAATAATTATTATGAAATTTGATTACCTGGGATAAATTTCATTGATGTATGTGCACAAGAGTCTAAGACTTGACGTGCTTATATAAACGAGCCTTTCCAATTCCAAGTTGGTATACATATTTTTTATTGATTGTCCCTCCATAATGCCCCATTTAAAAGTGTTCCAAGACCATTGCAGCAGAGACAAAAGACTTTGAAAGCATTCTTTTGTGACTGTTTTAGAAAATTCTTTGGAAAGGATGTGAATGGGTTCAACTACGTCTACCTAATACAAAGAAATTAAGCAGGGATTTCAATTGTAAAACAACCCTTACTTGTCTTGGTGGATTTTGATTTTCTGGACTGACAATTTTGTAGAGCAATTGCGGTATTTGTCCAGCGTTGACGTCAGTGCCGTTATTTGATTTTTTTGATGATTTAAAATAAAATAATACTTGATCTTCTGTTGTTACCATGGTTTGGCCTGATGAACCACAATCGCTGCTAGGACCGCTTATTCTGCACCAAGCTACGTACCAACGATGAGCCTTGAAAACATTGAAATTTTACATATAAATAATCAGGAATTTATTGGTTACCTGAAGTTGCACAGGTTCGTCAAACAACATCGCATATTTTTGCCTAGGCCCACACTCATAAGGCACTTCTTCAGTTTCAGCTAGAAGTTCTCCGTCTACCTCTTGCTCCCCACCATTAGGGCCAATATCCAATAGCTTTAGCTTGGCAGTATATTCTCCACGCCCTCCAAACAAGCCAAACCCTCCCAGTAAAATATCAGTATCAGCCATAAATCGAATAGCTTCGATGCTATGGCCGGAATAACCCCAACCACCACCGTGGCTTTCAAACCTGTTGACAGCTTGAAAATCTTCTTTGGAGTATTGCTTGCCTGTTACCATTTGGCGATCGTCGACTTCTTCTTTTACTGCTGTTATTTGAAGATCGTGAGCTATTGTTAAAGTGTCCAGGCAACAGAGGAGATTTAAAGCTGCTTGAAATCTAGAATAAAACAGTAGACTCATTTTGAGAATCGTAGCTTTTATCTTCAAAGAAGTGAGTGAAGTGTTGAGGAAGTTTGTGGAAATCTTCAAAATGAAGGTAAGTCTGAGGAAACTTGGGAAGGTTTTCAAAAATTCTAAGGGAAATATTTATTAAATAATAGAGGAATATTTCTATACAAAATTTGCATTATAGTTGTAGCCATTCTCAAACTAATTATTCTTACCTTGTCACGTGACAATTCGTTGTTACAGGTAAAGCCAGCTCAGGGAATAAAATCGAATTTAAGCTACCCTGTTTATCGGTCAAACATCTATCTTGGATTATTTTCATATCGGACAGCACTTTATTATCCAGAGTCTTCATTGACTGATTAACATTAACAGTTTGCAAATCTGACGCTACAATATTGTAGCAACAAACTTCGTGACTGGCCACGTCATACGACCAAAGAATATTGTATATAGGATCCATACAGACCATTTTAGAGCTGAAATCTACTTGTTCTGGGCCTTTGAAAGAGTTGCAATTGCCATCTTTTTTGTTGATTACTAGGCTTTTGAAATTTCTAGTAGTGGTTTCGTGGTTTGGAAACAAAACTATAAGAAAACTGCTTCAAAACCCATCAAAAACATCAAAATAAATTCTTACCAATGCAATGCTTGTTAGCTGTAACAGTTGATTTTGCGATGCTTACTGAATTTATAAGGCTTTCGTCTAGTTTTAAGAAGGTTTGGTCTCCTGAAGCTCCCACCCAAGTGGCACGCCGTCCATGCCTGGGACCCACGTTGGGTATAGCACCTGGAATACTATACCATGGAGTTCTTGGATTGTTATACTTAGAACTGCTTTGGCCAGGTTGAGGATTTTCTTGACTTATCGGACTGGATGGTAGACGACCTAATTGGCCCCTCTAAAAACAAACTTTTGAACAACTCTAATAATTTTATAAAACTTACCTCAGCATTTCCAAAAGTAAACACTTCCCCTTTACTAGTCAATATTACAGTATGGTTGCTTCCAGCAGCTACATGTACAGCGCTAGTAGGCAACTTCACATATTGTAAAGCGCTTTTAGCTAAAATATCCCCGCAGCCTAATTGACCGTACAGATTTGAGCCAAAAGTCCAAACTTGTCCGTTTTGCAACAGAAGAACGCTGTGATGTAGTCCACAAGCTATTTGAACTACTGGACTGTCACAAGACAGAGCTAACTTAGCAGGAGGTAGACAAGCCACTCTAGCAGCATCTCGTTCCACATCAGAGCCAGTTTGTTCTTTCACGGTGCCTAAAATGTTGTTTTGCCTGCTGGTGGAGTTACTCGCTTTGTGAGTTGGAGTTGCCAGAACAGAAGACCTAGATTTTTAATTAATAAATTGAGATTTCATGATGTGATTTTCTCACCTCAAAGACTTCAATTTGCTAGCCTGTTTGCTAGAACCGGCCATCGATTTTTTACTTTTGTTTTTCCTGTCTTCCAATCTACTTTGAATTTGCTCTTGCAACTTTGTTCTTTGCTTTGATGGGATTATTTTATTATCCCTCATCATTCCTGCCAAATCAGCCAGTTCGGAATTATCTACGACTTCTCGGGCACAAATTCTACAACAACCACAAATGGCGCAACCGCTGTCGCCTTCACCGCAACCACACTCTCTAAAAACAGAACATAAAAAAAACATTTAATAATAGTAATTGACCATTTCTTACTGTCCTGGGTTTCTTTCTGAACTCATGGAACTCAAACAACTAATAGAATAACCAGTGCACTCTCTGCAAACTGTACAAACCATGCATAAATCTTCGTGCCAAGCATGAGTGCCAGCAGGGCACATATTTTGTTGCCCGCCCTCTCCTACGTTGCCTTCAGAACAACTGGCCATATTATCAGATTCTTTTTGATTAGTCTCTATATCTTCAAAGTATTCTTGTTCGTCCAAAGTGGGGCCAGTGTCCATTGCAACTATATTATGCAAAGGAGGACTATCTTTGCTTGACTGTTTTATAAACTCTCTGCCGCACTGGAATTTGTTGTTGATTCCAAAAGTGAATACTTGGCCTTTGGTTGTCAAAGCTATTGCGTGAGCTTTACCTAAGGCTACTTGGGTTATGAATTCGCCTTTGAGACCTCCCACAAGACCTGTAGAAGCATCTGCATGTGCAGTATCTTTACCAAAAATCAACAATTCACCGTCTCTAGTCACTAGAGCTGTAGTTCCATTATTACAGGCCCCGGTAATTATATGCAAACCATCAACCTTGATCATTTTTTTAGGTTTGACTGGTTTTGGTTGTCTTCGTACTTTGCTTTGATCGCCGTCCTCTCCCCTTCGTGCGGTTCCTGTGAAAAACACTGCCCCATCTTCTGTAACAAGGACAGCATGTAAACCGTCATGTCCCATGGAAATGTGAGTGATTTTTGGTGATTTTGTTAAAATTAACTCGGACCATTTTCCCGTTCTGATTCCTGCCTGTTTAATGCCTAAAGCTGATGATTTGCCTGTGTAAAGCACTTTTCCTGTGACCGTGCGGAGTAGACCGAAGTCTTTGCCAGCGCAAACCGAGGCAACTTCTTCTTCAGTATTTAGGTTTATTGTGTAGGAGTTTGCTTCTTCTTCAAATGAAGCATATCCCAGAGCGTCCACGCACTTTCTGGCTAGTTTCAAAGGGAGCTCGCTTATTAAAGCAGCCGGGGAAGTGTTTTGGTTCAAAACTCTCACTACAAAACCATCCTGGAAAGTTGGTTACATAAAGAATTATTTCCAAAAAAAAAAAAATACTATACTAACATCTTTGGCAGCTGAAATGGTTCCTAAATATTCTCCATCTGAAAATATTACAGATGCCGATACGTCTCTGCTATGAAGAGGAACTGAACCAGAAATTAAAAGATTGTTCCGTTCTACTATCAGAAATTCACCTCCTCTTCTTCCAGATAATTTCAAATAAAGCTTCCCCTATTTAAAATAAATTCGGTCGAGTTGAGAAAAATAAAAATCTATAAGAACTTACAGAACAAAACACCAAACTGCCATTATCATTAGGATAAAAATCTTGTTTCCACATGGAAACATGACCCTTAACAGTCCCTCCATAGCCACTACCAATCTTCAATAAACCCTTACTTGTAAACAAATAAAGATATTGCCCATCAAAAGCCAAAGACTTAAGTATTAAAGTAACATTTTGCAAATCTGCTGGTACTTTAACATGAAACAAATCAATTTTTGAACTAATTGGAACTCCATGCGTCAACCAATCGGGCCTGATCATTTTACCCAATAAAACTCCATGGATGCTCCTTTGAAGTGAAGAAAGTACGGCGGGCATTTGTATGTTTTGCACGCTTAGAGCTCTGGGGCACATTAAAAGGGCTGCAGCTGCGCTAAGGTACTTTCCGGTATCCCCTTTGACTACTACAAGGGATAGGAGACAGGCACATGCAACCGCAGTTAAGTGAGTACCGTCATTCGGTACTGCACTTTCAGGACCGTGCAAAGTTGCTAAATCTAGTAGTAACTCGAATAAAGGGTCTGTTATGTCTGGTGGTTCGGATTTTAGACCTTCTGGGCTTTGACCTTGTAAAACATCGAGTAAAGCTGATAGAGCTTTAGTGCACAAGACTGGATGCGATGTTCTGCTCTCTTTGATCAACTCAAAAACAGATCTGAGGCCTAGTCCGACTACTTTTGAGACTTTTACTGGGACATAAGTGCTGCTCTGAGTATTATCTTCGGTGTCGCTCTCAATTTCGCTTTGGTCTATCATGGGAATGCTGCAGCTGCTTTGAAGGTGTTCTTGTGTCGCGTTCCGCATCCATCTGAAAAGAATTTCAATTATAAGGAGTGCTGAAAGTTTCCAGTTTTAGAAGTTCCATATGAATTGTAGGCTGCTCTAGAGCGTTCCAAAATACTCTTGGAAATTTTAGCTTGGATCTAAACCTAAACTTTTAAAGTATCTCTTGAATGTTCCTGAAAGTTCGGAAGTGTTCTGGTGCATTTTTGAATATTTCCAAAATTCCAATTTGATTCTTAAGTGTTCTGTAGCGGTTTACAATATTCTTGAAAGTTCCAATTTGTCTCAAATGAATGCAGGAGGATTGAAAATTGAATTGAAAGTCTTCTGAAGTTTATCAAAGTTCTAAATTTATTCTAAAGCTTCTCAAAATGCTTATAAATGTTTCAAATTGGCACAAAGGCATTCTGAAGTTTTTGAAAATGCTTTCTAAAGTTTTCAATTGGTTGCTTAGTGCTCCTGAAGCGCCGGAATGTTCAAGAAGTTATTAGAAATCTCTTAAATACACTTAAGCGCTTTTTGGTAGTTCTAATGAAAATTCTAAATAAGTTGAGAAATGTTAAAGTGTCATGAGACAATTTTTTTTCTATTAGAGATAGAAAGCTGAAATCTACAGTGATTGATTTATCAATTTTTCAATTTTCCTGAGTGCCTTTTTTCATAGAATCTGGCTTCATATTCCATAAACCTCAAAATACTTCCAAGGCATCTCCACAAGGCTGCCCTAGTGGGGTAAGTGCTCAAAATCCCCAAAAACTGTTCGGTTCAATTGATAATTACAATAATTTATGAAGAATGCATATTTAGAGGTCAAACGATCAAGTTTATTTTGAATCGTACCTATGTACTCGAGTACTACAACAGCAGTACGGCTTCAGATTGCAGCGTTGCCGACGTTACTATTTTGTATTAAAAAGGAAACACCTTGGAAGAAAATGGCGAAATCTCTATGAACAATCTTCGAGATGTAATTTTGGCTGTACAGAGAAATCTTTTGGGCGAAATACAAGGAGTGAAGAACGATATCAAGCAATATAACAGCAACTTATCGGTGGTTAAGGAAGATATTGAAAAATTAAAGCAAGAAAACGAAGAACTGAAGGAAAGACTAGGAATCGTGGAGCGACAAATGAAAAGAAAAAAATTGATATTTCAAGGAATAGATGAAAAATTTGCACCTCCCGAAAGGGCAGTTCTGGATATAGTAAACAAAAATTTGGGCATATCACTTACATTGGCAGATATAAGTAACTGCTTTAGATTGGGAAAACCCACAGAAAATCCTCGGCCGATTCTATTGGAACTATTGTCTGGATTTAAGAGGAGAGACATTCTTGTTGCAAAAACGAATCTTAAAAACACCAAAATATATATAAACGAGGATCTAACTAAAGAAGAGCTTTATCAGCGCAAGACCTTACTGGAGGTTCTTAAGGACGAAAAATTAAAGAACTGCAACAAAAGATTGAAGAATCATAACCGAATTGAAGTAGAGGGAACTTTTTACACTTTTGAGGAAATTACCAAACGCAAAAAACTCCCAATACAACTACTATCTGAATCTTCGCCAATAGTGTCAGAGTCTGCCAGTGCTCCCTCAACTCCTTCCCCCAAAGAAGTTTTGTTTGAGTACGAAGAACCTCCTGTACAAGACATAATCCAAAGGAATAAGACAGAAGAAAAGAAGGAGGAAAACAACAAAGAGCGAAAAGTATTAAGGAGGAACAAAGAGAACCGCGCAAAAGAAAAACCCCAAATAAATCTGCAAGAAACTTCTAAGAAAACAAAATCTAATTCTATCTCAAGTCCCGCTACTCCTAATTCCGCTAACGGCATCTCTGGGCAAAAATTTAAATATTCAACACACCAGGGTCAAAAATCCGAATAATAAATTTTTGTATACACATAAAGTACTTTTGTTTGTCTGGTTTTCGGTGTTGTACCTTAACCTTTTTTATAATATTTTTGTGTACGTCTAGGAATATATGTTTTTGTGTTTTTTTTATATACATATGATTCAGCGCACATAGGTAAAATCTATTTCATTTCCTTTTCGAATGATCTTGTTTTGCAAACGCATAAATACAGATTTTGGTAAATATGTTTAAAGTTTTCTAACCCAATAATATAGAAATTTTCGAAAATCAAAATGAAAAAATTTTCAGTTGCATTTTTTAACGTAAGCTCGCTTACAGCACATTTTGGGGACATAAAGTGCCTTTTAGACCAGAATAAATATGATATGCTGGTCATGTCTGAAACTCTATTGACAATTAACATTGACAGTAGTAAACTGATAATCGACGGCTACAGATTGCTGAGAAAAGACAGAGTTTTGAAGGAAAACAATAAATTTTTGGGTAGGGGAATAGGGGTTTATATTAAAAATTGGATAAATTTTGAGATTTTAGAGTGTCCATCAAACCAAAGTATTGAACAAATTTGGATAAAATTGAAACTTAATAAATGCACATACTGTCTTGGTTCTCTATACAGGCTGCATAGGGGGGATTTTGCAACATTCTTGGACTCATTTGAGGATCCTCTCTCACAATTCTCAATAATTTGTGATCGGTCGTTGATCTGTGGTGGCGATGTCAACGTAGATTACTTGGATATAGATAAAAGTAACACTCAGAAAATGATATCACTCCTGGAGACCTACAACCTTAAACAGATAATCGATTCAACAACTAGAATTTCAAAAACAACATCGACGCTGATTGACTGGATAATGGTTCCCAGGGCACTAAACGACATAAAATCAGTCGTAAAGAAAATTGAAAATCTGTCAGATCACTGTCTGATATCATGTATGTTGAGTGAAAATGTGAAAGAGACACCATACTATGCGACATTTAGAAACCTCAAGCGCATAAACCTAGAAGTATTTAATAACATGCTCATAGATGCATCATTTGATCAAATCTTGTACACCAGAAACCTAGATGATAAAGTTGACATATTGAATCAGCATATCTTGAAGATTTTTGATTTCTTAGCCCCCTTAAAAACCGTTTTAATTAAGAAACATAAGCCTCCGTGGATAACTGATAATGTAACAAAGTTAATTAAATTAAAGGAACCGGCCTATAGGCGTTTTAAGAAATCAAAAAATCCAGCACATTGGGATTATTATAAGCAGCTCCGTAATACTACAAATATCGCAATCTCCAATGAAAAAAAGAGCTATTTGGAATACTGTAGTGGGTCGAACGATAGGGCTTTGCTTTGGAAACGTTTAAAACGCCTAAATATTGTAGAAAACTCTAAAAATAAGACTTCTCTGCCAGATAGTATCAATAACCCACAAGAAATAAACAATTTTTTTCTCACGTTCACTGGGACGTTAGTTCCGGTCGACCAGGAACTATTGTCTTATTATCAGCAAAACAAAAAGACCTATTTTAACGAGCTTTTTACATTTAAAACAGTGACCATGGGTGAAGTTAGAGAACATTTATTTAATATAAAAACTCTTGCTGTTAGATCGGATAAAATTAACTATCAAATGTTGATTATGTGTTGTCCGTTAATATTACCATTTCTAACAAATATAGTCAACACGAGTATTATTGAAAACAAATTCCCTGCAAAGTGGAAAGTAGTAGAAAGTACAGCCGAAAGTACAGCCTATACCAAAAAAAAGCACTCCCGAATATTTTAATGATTTACGTCCTGTCAGCATACTTCCTTGTCTATCGAAAATTTTAGAAAAGATTTTTGATTCACAGATAAGAGAGCATTTGGGTGAATACAAAATTTTGCCTGAACACCAATCTGGATTCAGGCCTGGTTTTAGCTGCACAACAACTTTGGCAAATATTACGAATGACATATTTTTGGAAAATGATGCTGGGAAGGCCACGGCCCTGGTTCTTCTTGATTACTCGAAAGCATTCGACACCATTAGCCACGATCTGTTGTTTGCAATACTGCAGTTTGTAGGCTTCTCTACGGAGGCAATTGCGGCAATTAAAAGCTACCTCAGCGAGAGAAGCCAATATACAGAGACGACATCAGGCTTTTCAAATCAAAGCCAAATAAATAGGGGTGTTCCTCAGGGTGGGATTTTATTGCCGATTCTTTTCTCAGTTTACACCTGTAACCTAACAAAATGCTTGTTAAAATGCAATGCGGACCAGTATGCAGACGACACACAACTGCGCTACTCTTTTTTCCCCAAAGACCGCATTGCAGCCAAAAATATATTTGAGAAAGATCTTACTAACCTGGTAGAGTATTCTGAAAGGCACAATCTAAAAATAAACTCTCTGAAGTCAGTGGTGCTATTTTTCGGAAGAAATAAAGCTGAGATGAAGAGGGAGATCAATATATCTATCCAAAACAACCCCCTACCGGTCTCGGACTGTGCCCGAGATCTAGGCTCTTACTACTGGACACAGACTTGAGGTTTAGAGAACATATAAATTTAAATATACGAAAAGCATACATGTCATTAAAGCTTTTATATCCCCATAGGCACTCGCTCTCAATAAAACAAAAAACTCTACTTACAGATACCATAGTTCTGAGTCATTTCAACTTTTGTGATGTAGTATATGGGTCATGTCTTGATCAGAATGACTAAAATAGGGTACAGAAAGTTCAAAAGTCTTGTCTCAGATTTATTCATGGCATAAAAAAGTTCCAACCCATAACATACAAACTGAAGGAAACTAATTGGCTAGATATGAAAAAGCGTAGACAATTTCATTCGTTGGTTTTCTTCCACAAAATAATAAAGTCACAAACACCGCCTTATCTAGCGAACAGAATAAAATTTAGAACAGATGTCAATGGTCTCAATTTAAGGTTCAGGGGGTTGATAACGCCACCGCAGCACACTACGAGCATGTTCGAGAGAAGCTTTACTTATAATGTCTATAGCCTGTACAACGGTATTCCCGATTATCTCAAGGACCTCGAGGTTCCTAATTTTGTAAAGAAAATTAAACTGTATTTGTGTACTTTGTAGTGGATCTGGTCATGGAGGGGAGGCAGATAGCAAAATATTTGCAGTAGAGTTTTGTTTTTTTTTTTTTTGTTTTTTTGGTTTTAGATATTTCAATATGTTAATTAGGCCGTATTTTAGTTTAGGCAGTTAGCATGTAAGAAAATAAAAGGGGTTGGACTCGAACAATTCTAAATTGCCTTCCAGCTCCTTTTTGCATTATTCTGCATTATTGTTGTAAAGAAAGGGAAAAAATGTAAATTACTGGATTAGTGCAAATAAACTTTACTACTTCTACTACTACTAAATAATTTAGTGTATGAAGTTTGGGGGATCCCAAAAGACCATTAAGATACAAAATCTCAACAAAAAAAAATTTAAATTTCAACGTTTTAGCCTCGGTTTTAGCAAAGTCTTTAGTACTGGGGTAGCTACCCTATGATTTAGATTTTCGAAAATTTTGAAAGGTCATAACTTTTTTTTCTATTATAAATAGAAACCTGAAATTTTCAGCAATTTTTATCCCATAGTAGAGGACTACAATCCCTGAAAATTTCAGCTCATTTGAGCCCGTTGACTTTTACTAGGTATATGAAGAAAACTCAAGAGTCTGGAATAAACAAAATATGAAATAGAAAAATAGAAGGGGCATAGAATGAAAAATTAGAAAAAGAAAAAAATTAGCAATGGACCAAAAAATAGCCTAAAAAAAAACTGAAATGGAAAGAAAATGAAAAAAAAAATAATGATAATGGAAAGACATTAAGGGAAGGATAGGGAAAGTTTCTAGCTACCACCAATAATTGCAGAGGACGTAAGAGGAGTTTCTAGTGGAAGAAGGAAATTCAAGGGAGTATGACCCAGATCCCGAACCCATGATTCGATAGTGTCGTCCATATAAATTAGATAGACCATGCTATCGAATTGTGGGTTCAGGATCCAGACCCTGTATCTGATTATCGGATTGACATGAAGTTCATTTTCTTGACAGTGTGACGAATACATTCTACAGTGCTGCAGAAAATTTACTTTAAAATATTATTTTTCTGTGGAAATTGAAAGACCAAATTATCTATTTGAATAATTATGTTACAAATTGCGCAGAGATAATGTTAAATTTGTCAAATATCAAACTTCTAGGGTGTTCATTTTGTACTGCTTTTCTTGCTTCAAGCAGATCTCAAGAGTAGATCAGCATTCACTTGTCCCTATATTAAGCCCTTGAATAGCAGATCTTTCTGATTTTTTGAGCAAGTAGAGCAAGTACAAATGAACAACCCCTTCTCATGTCCAATTCTATCTTTATTCTGGCTGGATACTATTACATAATCTAATAAGGTTCTCATTCAATAAAAGGCCTGTTCGCACAGAAATCACAAACCAGTCAGAATGAATTTCATTGGTTGAAACTAGTTTTCTGACTGTTTCTGACTGTTTTCAACCAATGAAATTCGCTCTGACTGGTTTGTGATTGCTGTGCGAACAGGCCTAAAGTATTCTCACCTGTCCAAGACAGCCAAACGTACTGAAGCAAAAACAGCAAAAGCTGATGCATTTGCTGGAAGTTCTATTTCCGGAGCTGATTGCATTTCGTTTTCAAATAAAAGTTCGACTTTTTTCTGCTTGGAACGGGATTTACCACACTTCTTTTTCATTTTTTTCCAGTCCATTCGTTTGCTAAAACAAAATGTTAACCAAGTCTCATAGAATTGACAATAGAATAATATTTTACCGGAAACTGTCTGGGTTCACTTTGTAGGATCTGTGATGTAGAATACCATAATTTTCTGCTTCTGGAAGCATTTTCTGAACCAAAATTACTTGTAAATACCTTATAGTAAGTATTTCTAGAGAAAACACTGATTACTGACTAAACATAGGGAGTCCCTAAACTAAACTATTGATTTTTCTTTGAGAATGAATCATCCCACATTCAAGGTTAAAATTGACCTATAGAAACAGAATCATGACCCATTTAATTTTAGTATGGTTGGAATAATGAATAAATGAATGAATCTGGTATTCTCCTAGAACACCCAATACCTAGGGTATTCCCCGAAAACAACAAAATCTGAATTTTTTTGTAAATAATATGGCTGCAACCAACAATATAGCAAGAGTGAGAGAGAAAGAAGCTATCATAATCGTACGTGAGAGAGTGAGAAATGAAATAAACAGATTGACAAATTTTAGGCGTTTTCTTTTATCCTCTGTTTCCTCTATAATTTTTTCTAACCTCAATCTTTATCATTAAAAAAAAAACATAAACAAACTACTGTTTTTTTTAATAAATAATCATTTATTTATAAACAATGTAATGATTGTTGTAGGTTTTTATCTTAAATTAAACTTACCACGAGCATGTTTAACTTGAATATTTAAAGGTAAGTGCAAAAAGGGTAAAATTTTCATATTTCATCAAGTTGTCTAGTTTTTTTCCAGTCAGAAAATAAATACATTTGTTCATAAACAATAACATTGACATTGTCAGTTGAAATTATGGCGGTACCTCTAAAAATTTATCCAACTTCCGATGAATGTCGTATCAAAAACAAAGTAACTTGCCCTGTGGAAACCTGCAAGCAAACATTCACTTCAGAATCGAATTTGAATTTGCACTCGTGGAAAACCCACAAAACTTTCGAGCCTGCCAGCAGTTCTGTGGAAAAATGGTACTTCTGTCCAGAAACCAATTGCCAATGGGGTGACGTGAACCATTTTAAAAGCATGAAACCTCTGAGACAGCATTTTCTGAAAATGCATTCGTCAAAGATTCACAGTTGCGCATTGTGTCAAAAGGCTTTTCCAACTGAAATGATGCGGGCAAATCACCAGAAGTTTTGCAATGTTCTGTTCACATGCCTTGATTGCAAGGTTTCCTATAACTGCTATGAAACTTTGAAGACTCATTGTCGAAGGAAAAAACATAAATTGTTAAACAAGGCTGATTATATTAGAAAATCTTGCATGGAAACAGCAACAAGTGAAATAATGCTTGTTAAGCCCAGGCCAATACTGCCTAAAAAATCCACTAGCCATGAAGACATTATCTTTGTTGAACTTAAAAGAAACAGTCAAGACAAGCAAACTGAAACCAATCAAATTTTGATAACTCAACATACTCAAACTGGATCAAAAAACCATGTAGAAACTCAAACAGTGGAAACCAACAAGATAAAATGTGATAATAAAAACATGAAAACCCAAACTGACTTGGTACAATCAAGGGAAACTTCCTGCAACACCTCATTCGATCTAAACGATTTTGCATTTACTTTAAACGACAACATAGAAAAAAGCACCCAAACATATGAAAACCTTCTCAACAACATCTCTGTAACAACTCACACAGACACATCAGATTTGTTAACCGACTTTGATGCAAATTTCTTCAATTGCAACATGGAAACTCAAACAGATTTGATGTTTGAAAACGAAATATTTAATTCCGATTACTATTCCAACATGTATACGCAAACTTGTGACGAAATACTAAGCGACTTGAATGGTTTGGCTGACATCCAAACTCAAACCGGTTTAAATGAAAGTTTAAGATCTGTGGAAAGCCAGACTTTGATGTCCAGCGCTGATAGACTTTGTCCTAATATTTTAAAGGACATTGTGCATTCTGAGACACAGACAGATGCTGAATACAGGCAGATGTTAGAAATAATCAATTCTTGACTGTAATGACTTTTTTTTATTTGGTATTTCGGTTTTATGCTAATGTTAGATAATGTAACTGTTGTTCATTAATAAAATAAACTGTTTTTTACAAATTGTTTTTTCAGTTGTAGCCTCTCGTTTTCAGCATTGTTTCAAACCCTTTGTTAATTTCCTGAATTGTAAAACTTGATGAAACTTTTCTGGAGAAACAAGCAATCTTCAGGGTTCTTAAATTTTCCCTATTTTTTTCATTCATTTTCATATTCCGGCCCACTCAATCCAAAGATTTGTTATTAGTTGCATTGGTCTGTAATGAAAATTCAAGAAGCATGAAATTTGTTTCGAGTGGGCCAGGTGACGTCACTACAGCAGCGAGTGCTTATGCTAAATTGGCGGAAAAAAAAGAAGTAGACATGAAATATGATATGGATACTCATATGAGTAAGTTATCAAGTACTTGGAACAAGCGAAAACATGGGTCTCGACTTTTTTACCATTTTTTTGTCACATTTTTTTTATATTTCTTCTCACTATTTTCCAATTTTTCCGTCTCAATGTTTATCTATTCCCGGCTCTTGAACTTTCGTTTTCTCCTAAATTTTTCTAAATAGAGAAATAATCAAGAGCTTGGAATAGAAACAAGATACTTTGTCCCAATTTTTTCTCAATTTTCCTTGAATTTCTGCTCTCTATTTCTCAATTTTTCCGTATCAATTTTTGATTTTGATTCCCGACTCTTGAATTTCCCTTTTTTTGTAAATTTCTCTAGATAGAGAAAATTCAAGAATAGAAACAAAAATACGCAAGAGCCTGGAATAGAAAAAATATGAATTTCTTGGATTGCATTAGCCAATTTCAAGCGAATGGCCGTCATAACTGATCAGTTATCTTGAGTAATTTTGACAGATAAATTCACAGATTTGAGGCGATTTTCAGCCTGGAATGATTATTATTTGGTTATAACCAATGCATTTCCGCCGTCGCGGTTTTAACCAAAGTAGGGGAAGTTGTGACGTCACATATCAGCTGATTTGCTTTTGGTATTTACCACTTATAACCGATTATAACCCAGCTTTGGACTTGGGTTAATCCTTTGGTTACAGCTTTTTGATGTTATTGTTATTATTTTTGGAATTTGTATTGGTGTTTTGTGATTTTGCAGGTGCGTTAGTAGCCTGGCACAATGAAAGAAAGTATACATTCACTCACTCACTGCAATTCACCATGTTTAGATCATCCCAAAAGAAAATCTGTTCGATAAACGAGACTAACGAGAGATTCAGCTCCATTTTTTGTACCTAAACAAAAAATTATTGTTGAAACGAAAAAACAAATAAGAATAATAAACATAATTCTACACTGCTATAACCAAATCATTTCAGCGGTCAGTTCCTTGGGTTATGATTCTTGAATGGTGGGGGGCTATGACGTCACACTTGGCTGTCAAAGTTGTCAACCAAAAGAATAACCACGGTATTTACCGATAAATAATTATTCCAGGCTGAAAATCGCCTTTGATAAATTGGTCTTAACTGACGTTAAATGCATTGCTTATCTGTCAAGTTGACTGACCGGTCAATCGCTTAAAAGCGAGGTGCTTTCTCGCGTCTCAAAAGTTTTGAAACATTTTTCAAAACTGGGTTTAAAACAGTTTCACAATGACGTCATAACATCTCGGCGCGAGAATTTGGTTTGAAAACGTGGATTGGATTGTATATTTAGGAACGATTTGAACCAATTTTGTGTGACGTCATGGGTTCATCGCGAGAATATACTATTTCGAACCTGTTTTGAACGAGTTTCAAAAAAATGGACGCGAGGAAACAGCTCTGGAGCCAATTTTAAGCAATTGACCAGTCCAGACCATTATGACAAATAAGCAATGCATGTAACGTCACTTAAGACCAATTGGTTGACACATGACGCTTAATTAATGATTTATGTGTCAAGATGACCTATCGGTCAATCGCTTATTGGCTATTTACGTTTTAACGAATGACATTTTAACTTTGCAAGAGGGGGGTTGGATGTATACACAGGGCAGCATCAGATTCGTTTTAAATGATACCCATAATCATTTAAAACGAATCTGATGCCACGTTTATTTTTTAAAAAATCGCTCGTACACGTAATTTGATTTTCAAAGGGGCTAGTTTTCTGCAACCATTTATAGCACTTCCACTTTAACCCTCTAGGGGCGGGTTTCTCAATAGTTGTATTCATTTCAAGAGTTTGGAACACTCGAGCTACTCGCTGTTGAAAAAAGTACTTGTGCTGGTACTTAAATTTGGATTTTTTTTTAAAGTGATACTTTACTACTTAAAAATGTACTTAAAATTTAAATATACTTAAAATATGTACTAAGTACTTATTTGGTGTATCTATTATACAGAGTGTCAATTTGAAAACTTCCCACCCCTATTATCTCGGAGTAGAAAAATCTTCAAAAAAATACCTGAAACACGTCAAGTATAATTTGAAGGGGGATGAGTTTTTAAATTCACCTCCCCTCTTTCAACCCCCCAACCCCCAGAGCCATCCCCTAGAAAATCTTAAATGGGAAGAGGGCTCAAGTGATACATCATTTTGCAGGGTTTTCAATTCCATACATTTTGGTACCAAATTTCAATACCTAAGTTCAACTGTTTTGGAAATATTGACAGTTGAAAATTGACTTTTTTGCAACTTTGACAGGCTATAAAACCTAAACGGTTAATTTTAGAGGAAAACCGTTCATACATTTTTATCTAAGATTTTTATAAACTATCATTTGACAGCAACTTTGAATTTAATCCATGATCAAAAATTCTGGTTAAAAATTTAATCTCTGGTTAAATTCAAAGTTGGTGTCAAATGATAGTTTATCTAGGATAAGAATGTAAGATTGGTTTTCCTCTTAAATTAACCGTTTAGGTTTTACAGCCTGTCAAAGTTGCAAAAAAATCAATTTCCAACTGTCAATATTTTCGAAACAGTTGAACTTAGGTATTGAAATTTGGTACCAAAATGTATGGAATTAAAAACCCTGCAAAATGATGTATCACTTTGACCCCTCTTCCTATTTAAGATTTTCTAGGGGGTGGCTCTGGGGGTTGGGGGGTTGAAAGAGGGGAGGTGAATTTTGCATAAAAACTTATCCCCCTTCACATTACAGTTGACGTGTTTCAGGGATTTTTTCGGAAATTTTTCTACTCCGAGATAATAGGGGTGGGAAGTTTTCAAATTGACACCCTGTATCTATATATATCTAGGATAATAGGATACACTTCTGTAGCACTGATTCTACAAATGGAAATCGCTATTTAGGGCCGAATTTATAGTCGTTCATCCTTAAATCTTCTTTGGAGACCGGCCCTGGATTTCTCAAGCCTACCGGCCCTTTGAGCCGTAAAAAGCAGGAAAATTGTATGCCACCGAAAAACTGCGGTTCGAAGAAAGGACAGGTGGCAACACTAGGCTAAGGCGAAATTTTTTTTGAGAGCCACGCTCAAAAATACCTTCTATATATCTTAAAGCGGTCCATAATTTGAACTTCATTGTCGTCAACACTCGACACAGAAGTGATCCATTATGTTCCTAGGCCCATAATAATAGTACATTCTATACCTAGGTAGAGAAGTTGGTCATTATAATGCGTCATATACCGGGTGCCCACGAGATTACTTTCCGGCTGCCATTTTTTTATCTGTTTATTGATATCAATGAAACTTGGTAGGCTTGAAATTCTAACGAAATGCCATTTTTGTGCATTCATGACAAGTTTACCTGATTTCCGGTTTCACCGGAAATTACCAAAACTTTCGATTTTCAAATGGCACACCCTGTATATTTTTTGTTTTTTGGATTCTACAGATCGTTTTACGTCTAATGTACCACTTTTAAATCGAACTTTGTCCGAATTTCTTTTTTTAAATTAAATTTTAACTAGAAAAAAAAATAATAACCTACATAATAAAATAAAAATATTTGAACGAAAATTAAGAAAAATGTCGCAGTGTATTATATCGTTGGATTCGCTTCAAAATACTGCATTTAGTAATGTTATGAAAGTGATATGTTCCTATTCTAGTTTTTGAGCTAGGGCAAAAATACTAAAATAATGAAGTTTATGTCCGATTGACCAATAAAGTGCTATTTATAGAACAGTTTTGCGTCAATAAAGTAGCACTTTATTGTACTAGTAAAATAAAGTGCTACTTTATTGCCTACCTGGACTACCTAACAAGTTGAAACAGGTCCTGACAACCTGCCAAAGTGAAACAGGTCCAGACAACCTGCCAGGTGAGCGTCCAATGAGAAGCAAGTTTGTGACAGGCTTGCGTCATATTCTTATTCAGGGGCCAGTTCAGAATGAATTGTTCCTTCTTTCTTTGTAACGTGTAATTTGACAAAGAGCAAACTAATTCTTTACATATTACCAAAGAATATTATAGACTAACGTCAGGCCCTGGACCACACAGTGACTTAACTATTTCAAATAGAAATTCGGTACCGCCGCCATATTCTTGTAAATTTTGAATATGAATATAGAAGTTAGGCACTCCTCCGCTGCCATATTTTTGCAAATTTTTTGATGTTTACTCAGGTATTATTATTAATATTATTATTATCTAAGTGTATATTTATTTATTCTTTATTTTTCAATTTTTCCATCTCATATTTTGTCTATTCCCGGATCTTGAATTTTCGTTTTTTTCTTAATTTTTCTAATGGCCATTTCCACTAACTATTTTAGGGAAGCCCTAACAATAGGTATGCCTTATTGCATTAAACTGAAATTTATCCATGTAAAAATGTCATTTTAGGTAATACTTAATAGGCCTGCAGAAATCACAAACCAGTCAGAGTGAATCTCCTTGGTTGAAAACAGTCAGAATCAGTCAGAAAACTAGTTTCAACCAATGAAATTCATTCTGATTGGTTTGTGATTTCTGCAGAAACAGACCTATCGGTAGGACTCCCCTAAAATAGTTGAGGTTTACAATGCGTGAGGTATAATAACTTTCTCTACCGAGGAATATATAGATTTTTATATAGTTATTTAGGTCCGAATTTATAGTCGTTCCTTAAATCTTCCTTGGAGTCGCGAGTTTAGAATGGACACTTGCTATTATTTGTCAATTCTAAACGTTCAAGGCTTCCTTAAAGTCTGAGGAAACCTCAAGAACCGACTATATATTCGGCCCTAGTTATGACGTCGGAAATGGCGGCACACCAATATGGCGGCGATTGACCAACACTAAGCTACATCCCCAATCAAAGGCGATTTTCAGCCTGGAATGATTATTTATCGGTAAATACCGTGGTTATTCTTTTGGTTGACAACTTTGACAGCCAAGTGTGACGTCATAGTCCCCCACCATTCAAGAATCATAACCCAAGGAACTGACCGCTGAAATGATTTGGTTATAGCAGTGTAGGATTATGTTTATTATTCTTATTTGTTTTTTCGTTTCAACAATAGTTTTTTGTTTAGGTACAAGAAATGGAGCTGAATCTCTCGTTAGTCTCGTTTATCGAACAGATTTTCTTTGGGGATAATCTAAACCTCGATCTAAACATGGTGAATTGCAGTGAGTGAGTGAATGTATACTTCTTTCATTGTGCCAGGCTACAACGCAACTGCAAAATCACAAAACACCAATACCAATTCCAAAAATAATAACATCAACATCAAAAAGCTGTAACCAAAAGATTAACCCAAGTCCAAAGCTGGGTTATAATCGGTTATAAGTGGTAAATACCAAAAGCAAATCAGCTGATATGTGCCGTCACAACTTCCCCTACTTTGGTTAAAACCGCGACGGCGGAAATGCATTGGTTATAACCAAATAATAATCATTCCAGGCTGAAAATCGCCTCAATCTGGTAGCGAAGTGGTACTTCCGGCACGCGTACTGGGAAATTGATATCCATCCTCAATGCTGAATTTTATTCTGTTACTTTCTGCCGTACTGCGCATGACACAAGTGGGCACGCACCAAAAAAGCGTGCATGCCAGCACGAAATTGAATTGAGGATGCCAACAAACAACATTGTCCTAGCATGCGTGTCGAAGTGCCACTTCGCTGGCAGATTGATTGAGGATGGGCCTTTACTATTCCATATATGGAATAAAGGGTCGAGTGATACCTCTCTTAAAAGAGCGTTCAATTCTCTTTCATTTGATGTTATTTGAAAGAAAATTGAACGCTCTTTTAGAATAGGTAAGTATCACTAATGGTATCACTCGACCCCTTGTTCCATTTGGAATATTAAGGGTTCGTCCATCCCCCTATTAAGTAAGTGCTGAAAATGGTTCATACACTCACACAGTCAAATTACGTGTACCTACGAGCGATTTTTCAAAAAAAATAAAAGTGACATTAGATATATAGCCTGCTTCATTTTAAATGGAATACCCTGTATATCCGTATATCGACATCGTATCGATAAGCTCTTCTCATTTTCGTCCATCCTTTAGACCAGTGTTGCCAATGTTGCCAGCTGTACAGCCAACTCTGATAATCAATGGAGAGGGCTTTGATAATCAATGGTCCTTGTGAGTTGTGAAGCCCCAAATTATTTTTTTTTCAGAGAAATTCTCTTCTTGTTGGCAACGCTGTTTCAGAGTCTCAAGTCCCGGCAAGAAAGTTAGGTTATGTTTGTTGTAGTTAAAGGCTGCATCCTAGCTAGAGCTAGATTTTTATTTAATTTTTATTTGTTCCAATAATTCTTTAATAAATAAGATTAATGCGATAAAACCTAAAATTTGCCAGATAGTATTTGAGGGGTAAGTTTCAATTTGTAAATTGCTATTCTTTCTATCTAAGAAAAAGCCGAGTAATCAGAAATTTGGATAATTGTTCATCTGCCTTTAGCATTTTTGATTTAAAACTGCTGATATTTTGTTATTGTTTTGTGATTTACGCTTCTGAGCCACTTGCCAGGGATCAGATAAATTCATAATATTATTTTCTGAGTTTTGTATTCCGAAGCCTTGATTGTTGAATCAGCAATTTTTTAAGATGAAAATGATTCAAATATGCAAAGATACTTCTGTTAAAAACAAAATATATTTTGAAAATGAATCTTTTCACCTTAGTGAAATTGCATTTCAACAACGTTTTCCATGATTCGAACTGCTGCTAAGTACTAACATTGCCACTTTAATTAAAGTTTTATTAAATGTTGACAATAATGGAATAAATTGTACTGACCCATGAAAACCCTATATTTCCTTTCCCTAATGTTCCTCTGCAGGCATGAGATTTTTTCTTAACACTTTCTGCTTGTATTTAACATGTTTCTTATTACAAATTGAAATTTTCAGTAAAAATTTCACCATGTCGATTCGTCCTCATCGTACCATTGGATCCCTAGAAGTAACATTCACCTTTGACAAAATTTCAACCATCAAAGAGTCTGAAAAAATACTCTCCGACAAATTCTATCTGGGCACGACTTCCTGGCATTTGTACATAAGAAAAACAAAAAACGATAAAAATGTGGCCCACCTTGAAGTTGGTCTGGAAAAAGTTGACAACAATGAGGAAAATAAATTCTCCTACATAGTGCAAAGGGAGTTTATACTGTTGTCAAACAACACAAGGAGGAATGTGGTCAAGGGAGGCTTTCTAACAACACAAAAGTTGTACGGCAAAAGGCAGGGCGAAATTATGGAGATGGGTTATCCCAGCTTCATTGCCTGGTGCAATTTGATGAATCCAGTGATGGGTTACACCGATAAGAATGAGGACGACGATATTCAGATTACTTTGAATATGAATTTGGAGAAAGTTTTGAGACACAAGGAGGTGTGCAAGTGCGGAGCATGTTAAGTTTTATCACGGTGGTTGGTTTATTTATTTTTTTTATTTTTTCAAAAAAAAAAAAAAAAAAAACATTCCAATTTTTTGATGCAATCCTGTAGGAATTATTTTGCAAAAATTTTAAACAGTATTTTTATTCTGTTAGGTTAAGCACAAATTGTATACCTAAATTTTTAAGTAAAATAATGTTTTAGTTTTAGGTATCTAAATACCAAATATGTATACATATACCAAATTTATAGGGGCAAGTGCTGTTTTTTTTTTTTAGATACTAGTAATTTTGTTATTTAAGGAAGGATTTTCTTGCAAATCTCCCATATAAATTTAGTATTAATGCTGAAATAATTTGACGCAAAATACTGAAATAACATAACATAAGGCTTAAAACTAACAGTTATAGAATAAAAAAGAACAGGTTACATTTGGAGCCATTTGACAAGGGTTAGCTTTCGTTTCTGAGACACTTTTCTCCTCACTCTTGATTGTTTGGTACCAATAAGTAAATATTTGTTTTGTGTAGGTATTCTTTATCTATGGCTTTTGAAATAGTTATGTATTTTTAAAGAATTCAATTCTCTTCAAAAGGGAGGTTCTAAACTTTTTTCACCAAAACTGATTAGAATGAAATTCTATTGAATATGATGGGCTGTATGTGTGTTTCATGTTTTCTTTGATAACATTTGAATCAGGTGTTACATGTGTATGTGTTTTTAAGGCATTAGTATATATTTGCTCCTGTAATTTTTAATTTGTGTGCCATATATCATAAGCTTTATTTACTATATTATGTGAATTTGATTTTGTGGTCTTTTCAAAAAAAATAAAAAACTGTCAGGAAATATAATTTTAATTTCAATTACCTTTTGCAAGCATGAGGAAAACTAAATCACCCCAAATTGCTTTACACGATTTTATTTCTGGAACTATAAGTTCAAATGAGCTGAAATTTTCAGGGATTGTAGTCCTCTACTGGAATAAGAATTGCTGAAAATTTCAGCTTTGTATCTATAACAGGAAAAAAGTTATGACCTCCCAAAGTTTTCCAAAATCTAAATCATAAGGTAAGCTGCCTTCTTACTAAAACGATGAAATTTCAATTTTTTTTTCTATCTATAATAGAAAAAAAGTTATGCACTTCCAAAGTTTTCCAAAATCTAAATCATCTTACTAAAACGATAAAATTTCAATTTTTTTTTTTTCGAGATTTTGTATCCTAATGGTCAATCAACATACCCCAAACTCCATACACTAAATTATTCTCAGATTTGAAGTCGAAATCTATGAAAAAAGGCACTCAGAAAAATTGAAAAATTGATAAATCACCCCAAATTGCTTAACACGATTTTATCTCAAGAACTGTAAGTCCAAATGAGCTGAAATTTTCAGGGATTGTAGCCCTCTACTGGAATAAGAATCGCTAAAAATTTCAGCTTTCTATCTATAATAGAAAAAAAGTTATGACCTTTCAAAGTTTTCCAAAATCTAAATCATAAGGTTCTTACTAAAACGATCAAATTTCAATTTTTTTTTTGTCGAGTTTTTGTATCCTAATGGTCAATCAACATACCCCAAACTCCATACACTAAATTATTCTCAGATTTGAAGCCGAAATCGCGAAATCTATGAAAAAAGGCACTCAGAAAAATTGAAAAATTGATAAATCACCCCAAATTGCTTAACACGATTTTATCTCAGGAACTGTAAGTCCAAATGAGCTGAAATTTTCAGGGATTGTAGCCTTCTACTGGAATAAGAATCGATGAAAATTTCAGCTTTCTATCTATAACAGGAAAATACCCCAAACTCCATACACTAAATTATTCTCAGATTTGAAGCCAAAATCTATGAAAAAAGGCACTCAGAAAAATTGATAAATCACCCCAAATTGCTTAACACGATTTTATCTCAGGAACTGTAAGTCCAAATGAGCTGAAATTTTCAGGGATTGTAGTCCTCTACTGGAATAAGAATCGCTGAAAATTTCAGCTTTCTATCTATAATAATAGATAAAATTACTCATTACATATGTGGTAAAAAGGAAAATAGATATCTACTTATATCAAAAAACTGCATATGTGATAATTGATAAATACAATGCATAATATTCCACTATTTCCACTGCTTGGCATTATTTGATGGGGTTTAAAGTTATTCCCCTAGCACAACACAATTATTTATTAGGTCTGTTCCAACACGTCAAAAACCGTTACTCTGTATACGAATTTCGGATTCTACACACAAATTTTTGGTTTTGCGCATATTCGGGACGGTAAATTGTACGGTACGGAACAAAGCTGTTATTGAAAACTGACCTTGTAAATTTGCGATCATCATAATATGTTATTTTTAGTAGGGGGTACTGTGAGCAATCCTGGTCAAAAGTCTTGAAAATCTTTTTTGTTGTTTGGATAATAATTATTTAAATATCAGTTTTGCATTGTTAATTTATTGGTAAGTACCTACCTATGACTACTTTTTCGTCATTATACAAGAGGTTTTTTTACTTAAATCAAAGATATTGGGGAAAAGTAGCTCTAAACATTTTACGCGGCTTTTTTTCAAAAAAATTCGCCGAATTTATTTTGCTGATTTTTAGATCACTCGAAATTGACAATGGCAGGAAATTCTGACGATTATTTGGACATAGATCACCGTAGTACTGGGTCGCAAAAATTATTCATAGACTTCTATGGTATTAATTCAATGGAAGTTGATGAATACAAATATTCTCATTATTTTACTTTATGCAACAGTAAATGGTGTATGTACCTTGAAAGAAAATTTGATGAAGATAAGGATGATGATTACATGAGCATTTTTCTTCAGAAAGTTGACGATGAACGTGAAAACCAATATTCTTTCCATGTTCAAATGACCGTTACTCTTCTCTCTTATGGCAATCAAAATATTTCTCGTACTTTAACTCCAGCTAATTCAAAATCCCGATATGTGTTCGGAAAACGTAGTGGTGAAAGTATGAATTGGGGTTTTCGAAGTTTTATTTTATGGGATCACCTTCTCCTTCCACGATTTATTGCTCACAATGAGGATAATATCCAGTTTGAATTAGATATGACCATTATCAAAATTTATGCCCATGGAATTGATTGTGGATGTGAAGCATGCTAATAAATATTGTTGACTACACACTTTGTTATTTATTTGTTTGAGGGGGGTAGAAATCAGTCACTATTTTATAATACAAACTATTTTATTAATAACAAATATTATACAACAAAGCTTAAAATATTATATTTTATAATAAAGTTAGTCGAGTGGAAATTAACATGATGACTGACCATGATCAAGATGCTGGAACCAGTTAATGATTCAAAAGCTTACAAGCATACTTTCAAAATAAACCAATCAAGGAACACTTTAAGAAAAGCATTTTTCTAAGCAATTAAACAATATATTTATGCTGAAAAAGTTAACATTTTGGTAATCCGGATATCATGGTGGCAGTCAACATTCCAAGATACACCAATAAATAATTATAGGTTTCAATTTAAAAACAATAATAATAATATTGAGAATTTTTTCAAAGAATTGCTGTCCAGTGCAAATTAAATTAAATACAAACACTGAAAAGCGTATCCAAAATTAAAACACACAAATTTTCAGTCATACTCAATTTCCAAATTTTTTTGGGCTTGTAAATTTCATATTTACCCAATGAGGTTTGTTCCAACAAGAGATTTACTTACTTTTTGGCTTCTTGCATTGGTCCAACCTAAATGTGACCTATATATATTTGCTGAAACAAACCTATAGTGAATTGAAAAATAACGCCGAAAATAGACTAATATAGTTATTATTATCCAGCTAAATTATTAAACTATCTCACTAAAATTATCATCTTTTGCAAATTCGTTACTTTTCTCACATTACGTCATGCTGCCGTACTTATGCCCAGGTGGCCAAATTGGCGCCTCCGAAGAAGATGGCATGGGGTCTCTAGTAAAAGCGTTCACTATTGAGTCTTTTAAGCGATCTTTGAAGGTTTTGTATTCCATGTCGGCGTATTTCGGTCCAAAATCGAAATCAGCTACCTCTACTATGAACCTCGATCTATTTTGAAGGTAATAGGCCACCCCAAAGACTATGGTGACAACAGCTATTAGGCCAAAGACTACTGGAATTACGATGACTGATAGCTGAGCTTGTTGCTTGACTGGAAAATAATCAATTAGTTGTGAGGCGATTTATTTTGAATTTTTCAGTGGGTTAGAGGGTTAAAGTTTCCCTGCTTAAGGAGGGCCAATATTGTCAAGGAAAAAAGGAAAGTTTTCAAGAGTCCAACTTTCCCCTGAGCTACAAGTCCCGAGAGGTATTTCACTGGCCACAATATATATATACAAATTTCAGTATAGTATTGCGGCAGTAATTTCTCAATAGCCTTACAATGCCTTGCAATTGAATGCAATACCTTGCAATAGTGCACAATACTTTGCAGTAGTCTACAATAATTCACAATGTTCCACAATACTCTTGCAATTGTCTGCAATACTCTCACAATAGTCTACAATATGCTCGCAATAGTTGGCAATATCATTACAAAAATATGAAATACTATCGCAATAGCTTGTAATAGGTTTGAAGGGTAGTTCTTCACTTCAATTTTTACTCTTGTCGATGAAAATTCTTGAGATTATCTTCAAAATTGTTGTGTTTTAGTGTAGTTATTTGGAATATTTTTGAAGTAGCATGCTATATATTTATTTTTTGCATTTTGACTATACATCAGTGTGTCTATCACGCGTTGGGTATAAATTTGAATACGGATTTTAATTTTTGTTGCACTCTATCATAACTTTAACTTACGAGTGTATGAAAATAGAACAACTGTAAAATATAAGGGCGGGATTGTCCTTTCCTCTCTATCGCTCCTTACTACGGTCCCTCTTTTTGGTCTCGTATTTGAGTCGCTGTTCTTCAGATGTTAGGAATCAAGGGGCAAACCACCTAGGAATTATTTGCCAAAAATGTGGAGAATTTAGAGGAATTTGAAGGAACTCATCGGAATTTATGAGAATTTGGGGAATTTATAGGAAATTTAGAGAAATTTATGGGGAATATGGGTGAATTTATGAGGAATTTGATGGAAATTGTAGGGTCATGACGTCAGTGAGGTTCACATTCCTATTATTATATTTTTATTAAAGAAATTCTCCCAAAATTTCACTTCATTATTTACAGGTCGAAATTTAAAAGAATAATGAGTAGGTACCTAAGCCTAAGCATAGTAATCTTTAATATTGAAGATTACCCTGTTCATATAATTTTTAAGACAGTTAGGCTCCTCTGGTTCTTTGTCTGTCAACACAACGTCATTATCAGTTTCCTCCTGAATAGCCTCAGATGAGTCAGTCGAATTGAGTTCATCTTTATTGAAATTGGCGTAAAGTTCAGAGGTTATTATTGTTTATGGGATAATATGTCCATCAAAACCGTTAACTGTATAATCTCAGATATTGTCTATTCCTAACAAGGGGTACAACATTCCCCCAGAATTTGTGTAAACAATTCCTCAAAGGGGAATTTTCGAGGGAATTTTTCACGCAAAATTCCACAAAATTCCTACAAATTTCCCACAAATTCACCCCATCACAAACTTCTCCAAATGCCCCACAAATTCTTCTAAATTCCCTGCAAATTCCTCCAAATTCCCCATTAATTTCTCCAAATTCCCTATAAATTCCCCACATTTTTGGCAAAGACTTCCTAGGTGGTTTGCCTCTTGGAAAATACAGTCGCACACAATTCAAATTTTTCAGTGGAAAATAACCACATGAAAAATCTTGGAATCCAACTTACAAAAACTGAATTAATTGAAAATACAGTCTCACACGTCATGTCACAGTTTTCCTGGAATACTAGTGAAGGGAAAAATTTGAAACTTTTTGCACGTAAAGAGGTAGGTTAGAAGCTCATTTTCCCAAAATTTCAAATTTTTCCAGCAGGAAATAACAATATGAAGAATCTTGGAAAACAACTTACAAAAACTGAATTAATTGAAAATACCTTATTTTCCTAATACCTAGTCTCGCACATTTCAAAATTTTCCTGGAAAACTAATTCAGGGAGAATTTTTAAAATTTTTGCATATAAAGAGAAGAGCTAGAGCCTCATTTTCCCAAAATTTCAAATTATTCCAGTGAAAATTAGCAACATGAAGAATCTTGGAAATCAACCTACAAAAACTGAATTAATTGAAAATACAATCTCACACATTTCAAAGTTTTCCTGGAATACTAGTCAAGGGAAAAATTTGAAACTTTGTGCATGCAAAGAGGTAGGTTAGAAGCTCATTTTCCCAAAATTTCAAATTTTTCCAGTGGAAAATAACAACATGATAAATCATGGAAATCAACTTACAAAACTGACATAATTGTTAATACAGTCTCACACAATTCAAAGTTTTCCTGGAAAACTAGTGAACAGAAAAATTTGAAACTTTTTGCATGTGAAGAGGAAGGTAACAGGCTCATTTGCCCATAATTTCAAATTTTTTCATTGGAAAATAACAACATGAAAAATCATGGAAATCAACTTACAAAAACTGAAATAATTGGTAATACAGTCGCATCTCCAGTCTCACACAATTCAAAGTTTTCCTGGAAAACTAATTGAGGGAAAATTTTGAATCTTTTTACATGTAAAGAGGAAGGTCAGAGGCTCATTTTCTCAATATTTCAAATATTTACAGTGAAAAATAACAACATGGAGAATCTTGGAAATCAACCTCCAATTACTGAAATTATTTGAAAATACAGTCTCACACATTTCAAAGTTTTCCTGAAAAACTGGTGAACGAAAAAATTTGAAACTTTTTGCATGTGAAGACGAAGGTTAGAGGCTCATTTTCCCATAATTTCAAATTTTTTCATTGGAAAATAACAACATGAAAAATTATGGAAATCACCTTACAAAAACTGAAATAATTGTTAATATACAGTCTCACAGAAAATAACAACATAAAGAATCTTGGAAATCAACTTACAATAACTGAATTAATTGAAAATACCTCGGAAAATACAGTTTCGCACATTTCAAAGTTTTCCTGGAAAACTAGTGGAGGCAAAAATTTGAAACTTTTTGCATGTGAATAGAATGTGAAGAGAAAGATTAAAGGCTCATTTTCCCCAAATTTCAAATTTTTCCAGTATGGAAAAGAACAACATGAAGAATCTTGGAAATCAACCTATAAAAACTGAATTAATTGAAAATACAGTCTAACACATTTCAAAGTTTTCCTGGAATACTAGTGGAGGAAAAAAATTTGAAACTTTTTGCATCTGAAGAGGGAAGTTAGAGACTCATTTTCCCATAATGTCAAATTTTTCCATTGGAAAATAACAACATGAAGAATCTTGGAAATCAACCTTCAGTAACTGAATAAATTGGAAATATAGTCTCATGCATTTCAAAGTTTTCCTAGAAAACTAGTGAACGGAAAAATTTGAAACTTTTGCATGTGAAGAGGAAGGTTAGAGGCTCATTTTCCCTTAATTTCAAATTTTTCCAAAAGAAATAACAACATGAAGAATCTTGGAAATCAACCTTCAATAACTGAATTAATTGAAAATACAGTTTCACACATTTCAAAGTTTTTTTTGGAAAACTAGTGAAGGGAAATTTTGAAACTTTTCGCATGTAAAGACAAAGGTGAGAAGCTCATTTTCCCAAAATTTCCAATTTTTCCAGTGGGAAGTAACAAAATGAAAAATCTTGGAAATCAGCCTACAAAAACTGTACCTAACAGATATCAACAATGGAAGGTTTTTAAAAATACATTAAAAAAAGAGAAAGTCAAATACAGTAAGAAAGTTAACATCGCAATAGTACTGAATACAGACAACAAGAAAAGCAAAGTGAAGTTTCTAAAATTGAATGTATGCCAGTTTAGATGGGGTGAAAAAGATGAAATTGATGATCTAATCTATTTGATTTAGATCATAAAGATTTAAATAATATGAAAGAAAAATATAAAAGTTTGGAGAAATAGGGAATATCTATGTACTGCAATAACTTGCAATAGTTCACAATATTCACAATGGTTTGCAATATCATTGGGCAATAGGTTGAAATAGTCCACAATACTCTTACCATACTCTGCAATACCTGAGTATTACACAATATATGTACAAAAAAACTTCAGTGAAATACCCCTCGACAAGTCCTACAGTAGCCTTACTTTTATCTAAGTCTTACTAATTTATGACAATATATTTTAGTAGGCCCTCTCTTTTATTCAAAAGTAGATATAGACCTTAGATTATGTATAGACCTAATTTTTTTGAAGCCTTACTCACCTTTGTAAATAGTTACTGCCACAGAAGTAACCTTTTTGCTAACATCATTTTTAATAATTATTATCACAGTGTGTTGATCCTGCAAGTATCTCTTTATAGGAAAATCGCAGGTATCCAATTCGTCGTATTCATGACAAGTCTCGTTGCCAGTGACATTGTATAAACCTTACAAAATACAAAACTTGAACTACTACAACAAACAAATTATTATAAATACCTCGTTTGTAGTCAACACAAAATTGCATTTTTTCAGATCCTTTACAGTTGACGTTGAGGCTCAATATTTCTCCTTGCTGCAACCAATTGTTACCAGACACGGTAATATTTGAAATTGGAGCTGTAATATTGAAATTATTATTGCTAAAAACCCTTTGAATGTTTTTTTACCTTTTGTTGTAACTATTTTCTGAAAATATCCATAAACCTTATGACTATCTGTAGTTATGACGGTGCTGTTGCACACATAAGGAAAACTGCCATTATAAGGTACCAAAACACCATTTTCCCATACTTTAATATTATTTGATTGACTATCGTTTTTGGCAGATAATATTGAATCTTTATTAATTTGATTGTCAATTGAGCGTTTTGATTTGGATGATGGAGGTTTTGAGGTTGTTGAAGACTGAAATTTTTTAAAAAATAAATATTGTATTTCTTTCACATGTAACAATGACTTACCATAATTGTTGTTGAAATAGTTGTACTAGGAGTACTAGTAGTTGGTGGTGGTAAGGTTGTAGGCGGAGGTAAAGGAGTGAAATCGCCCACAACCAACGATTCAATCATGTGATTTTCATCTGATTTAGTAAAATTATAATCAAACTGCAAATCTGTAGTTATGCCATAATATACACAATCGATGAACCAATAGGAGAGCACCTTTGGGGCTTTGGTAATGTAGTTTTTGTCCGAAGGTTTTAGAGCTACAGCGGTTTTGAGTGTGTCACTGGTAGAAACGAAGCTGTCTCTGGTTTCGTTTTTTTGAGCCAAAAGTAAGTTGCCATTGAGAGACTCTGAAAAATATTCAGTTGTAATTTTTACGATTTTTTTTTTCTAAAAAAGTGTTTACACTTAATGACAATTCTTACCAACACACTGAAAATATATCAAAAACCAAAAACCAACAACAAAATTAGGAGCAAACATTGTAAACCTTTTAAAACACAATTCACAATACAAAAAAAACAACCGAGCATAAATGGAAATATATGTGCATTAAAATGACTATCATGGGTAAGTATAAAAATAGCTGTGTATATATTAATTGTGATGTGTATTGCGAACATTTTCCAACAATAATTATTAGGTTTTGATAAGGCAAATATTAGCAAAATTATTACCTGTAATCATAAAAAAGGTGCCAGCTGAATTTTGGTAAGTACAAAACATGCCAAGGATCCATTCACAAACGTCCACTCGTATCACATATCCGCCAGCAGTGTATATCGAGCTGTTATATGGCACTGACCATGTGTCTACATTGGGACCAGATTCCATCTAAAAAACAGAGACAATTGAATGATTTTACACTCCAAAAGAAATAAATAGTGGTTGAAAATTTCTTAGTGTTTTCATAATGCAAATTTCCTGTTTAAAAACTGTAAAGTTAAAAGTCCTGAATGTTAAATAACTTTTGCAACATCCTAGAGAAAAAAAATCTCAGGACCTTTAGATTCTGGATTAGTCTTTTGACTCTTTTGCAAATGTTCCATCATCTTTGAGTTGACTTCACAGATTTTGAAATCAAAATGCTGCAAAGCTTGGGAATTTCTTGGTGTCTTTAGTAGAAAACTCTAGAATTTTTAGACCCTGAATTCACTTTCAAGGTCCTGAATCTTGGGTTATTACTCGAGTTATTACTTTGCAAACTTTCTGGTTCTTCTAGGAGAAGATCCCAATACGCTCTGATTTATGAAAATTTCTTGGTGATTCTTTGAAAAAACTATATGTAGATTATGTATTTAGGTACTTTGCTAATTTCCTGATTCTTCTCTAAAGACTCTCAAAATCAAAAAAACTGAAGTCATTATTTTGCAAACTATCCTAGGTTTTCTATGAGAAGACTCTTAGGTTCTTGAGACCTTTAAATCCTCCAAAATTATTTTGCAAATGTTTTTTTTTTATAGAAGATTTTAGAAATCTTGAGTTCTACCCGAGGTTCTACCATTGTATTTCTACTAAACTTCAACATTTCTTTATGCTTCAATGAAGAAGCTCTGAAATCTTTAAGAAAGGGTCGGAAAACAACATCCTATAAATATTATGACAATAGTATCTTCATATTCAACACATTTGAATATCCTAAATTCTTCATAGCTTGAATATTTATTGGTATTTTCATGGCGAAATTCTGTATCCTGAATTCTAAGACATTATTCTGCAAATGTCTCTAAAAAACTTTCTATTGAAAAAATCATTATTTTGCAAAGTTTGTGATTCTTCTATCCCAATTTAAAAAAAATAAAAGAATAATGAATAAGTACAGTTTTTGTAGGCTGATTTCCAAGAGTTTTCATGTTGTTACTTTCCACTGAAAAAATTTGAAATTTTGGGAAAATGAGTTTCTCACCTTCCTCTTTACATGCAAAAAGCTTCAAAATTTTCCGTCACTAGTTTTCCAGAAAAACTTTGAAATGTGTGAGACTGTATTTTCAATTAGTTCAGTTATTGAAGGTTGATTCCAAGATCCATCATATTATTTTCCACTGGAAAAATTTGAAATTATGGGAAAATGAGCCTCTAACCTTCCTCTTCACATGCAAAAAGTTTTAAATTTTTCCGTTCACTAGTCTTCCAGGAAAACTTTGAAATGTGTGAGACTGTATTTTCAATTAATTCAGCTATTGGAGGTTGATTTCCAAGATTCTTCATGTTGTTACTTTCCAATGGAAAAATTTGAAATCATGGGAAAATGAGTCTCTAACCTCCCTCTTCACATGCAAAAAGTTTCAAATTTTTCCCTTCACTATTATTCCAGGAAAACTTTGAAATGTATGAGACTGTATTTTCAATTAATTCAATTTTTGTAGGTTGATTTCCAAAATTCTTCATGTTTTTATTTTCTACTGGACAAATTTGAAATTTCGGGAAAATGAGCTTCTCATCTTCCTCTTTACATGCAAAAAGTTTCAAAATTTTGCCTTCACTAGTTTTCCAGGAAAACTTTAAAATATGTTAGACTGTACCTATTTTCAATTAATTCAGTTATTGGAGGTTGATTTCAAAGATTCCTCATGTTGCTATTTTCTACCGGAAAAATTTGAAATTTCGGGAAAATGAGCCTCCAACCTTTTTCTTCACATGCAAAAAGTTTCAAATTTTTGCTTCCACTAGTTTTCCAGGAAAACTTTATAATGCGTGAGACTGTATTTTCAATTAATTCAGTTATTGAAGGTTGATTTCCAAGACTCTCCATGTTGTTATTTTCCACTGGAAAAATTTGAAATTTTGGGAAAATGAGCCTCTGCCCTTCCTCTTGACATGTAAAAAGTTTCAAAATTTTCCCTTTATTAGTTTTCCAGAAAAACTTTGAATTGTGTGAGACTGTAATTTCAATTAATTCAGTTGTTGTAGGTTGATTTCCAAGATTCTTCATTTTGCTTTTTTTTACTGGAAAAATTTGACATTTTGGGAAAATGAGCCTCTAACCTTCCTCTTTACCTGTATTAAAAAATATTTCAATTTGATGATCAAGTTTCCATGATTTTTCATGTTGTTATTGGAAAAAAATTGAAATTATGGGAAAATGAGCCTCTTACCTTCCTCTTCACATGCGAAAACGAATATTTCTGTTCACTAGTTTTCCAGGAAAATTTTGAATTGTGTGATACTGTATTAATAATTATATTAGTTTTTGTAAATTGATTTAATTTCTATGATTTTTCATCTTGTTATTTTCCACTGGAAAAATTTAAAATTTCGGGAAAATGAGCTTCTCATCTTCCTCTTTACATGCAAAAAGTTTCAAAATTTTCCCTTCACTAGTTTTCCAGGAAAACTTTAAAATATTTTAGACTGTATTTTCAATTAATTCAGTTATTGGAGGTTGATTTCCAAGATTCCTCATGTTGTTATTTTCCACCGGAAAAATTTGAAATTTTGGGAAAATAAGCCTCCAACCTTTCTCTTCACATGCAAAAAGTTTCAAATTTTTGCTCCCACTAGTTTTCCAGGAAAACTTTGAATTGTGTGAGACTGTATTTTCAATTAATTCAGTTATTGAAGGTTGATTTCCAAGAGTCTCAATGTTGTTATTTTCCACTGGAAAAATTTGCAATTTTGGGAAAATGAGCCTCTGCCCTTCCTCTTGATATGTAAAAAGTTTCAAAATTTTCCCTTTATTAGTTTTCCAGAAAAACTTTGAATTGTGTGAGACTGTATTTTCAATTAATTCAGTTGTTGTAGGTTGATTTTCAAGATTCTTTTACATGCAAAAAGTTTCAAATTTCTCCCTTCATTAGTATTCCTGGAAAACTTTGAAATGTGTGAAACTGTATTTTCAATTAATTTTTAAAAGTTGATTTTCGAGATTTTTTATGTTGTTATTTTCCCCTGAAAACATTTGAAATTTTGGGAAAATGAACCTCTAACCTTCTTCTTCACATGCAAAAAGTTTCAAATTTTTTCCTTCAATAGTTTTCCAGGAAAACTTTGCTTTGTGTGAGACTGTATTAACAATTATTTCAATTTGATGATCAAGTTGATTTCCATGATTTTTTATGTTGTTATTTTCCAAGGGAAAAAATTTGCGGGAATTTGGAGGAATTTGTAGGGAATTTAGAGGAATTTGTAGGGCATTTGGAGGAGTTTGTGATGGCGTATCTGCAAGAATTTGTGGGTAATTTAGAGGAATTTGCAGGAATTTCGAGGAATTTTACGTAAAAAAATTCCCCTTTGAAGAATTCTTTGCACAAATTCTGGGGGGGGGGGGGGTGGTTTACCCCTTGATTTATACCTATTTTTATGTATTAAAACCATTTTTGAACAGATGGGATTTTGGAAAATTTCTGATAACTTCTAGAACAACCCAGCGCTTCAAAATTATTAGGAACCAATTAAAAACTTTGGAAAGCATTTTGAAAAGTTTCAGAGTGCCCTAGCGCCAAGTTAGAACATTTTTAAACATTTTAAGACGCTCTAGAGTAATTTAAAACATTGATTCAATTCAATTTTCAATCCTCCTGCATTTGTTTCAGATAAATATGAATTTTTAAGAACATTGTAAAACGTTACAGAACCAATTTAGAATTTGAGAGACATTCTAGAACAGACCATAACACTTCTAAACTTTAGGCAACATTTTAGAAAGCTTTCGGAACACTCTAGAACACTTTACAAATCCTATGGAACGTTTGAAAACAATCTAGAACTGGAAACTTTCAAAATATCTTAAAAATCGTCACATGACACTTTAGAACTAACTTATAACTTCCATGAACATATTAGAACATTCTGAAATATTTCTGAACATATTTAGAATTTCCATTAAAGCTAACAAAAAGCGCTTAAGAATATTTGGTAAATTTTCGATAACATTTGGAACATTCCGGCGCTTCAAAATCATTTAGCAACCATTTAAAAATTTTAGAAAGCATTTTGAAAAGCTTCAGAATGCGCTTGTGCCAATTTAGAACATTTTGAGACGCTCTAGAGCACTTTAGAATAAACTTAGAAGTTTGATAAGCTTCAGAAGACTCTCAATTCAATTTTCAATCCCCTTGCATTTGTTTGAGACAGATTGGAACTCTCAAAAACATTGTAAAACTCTATAGAACACTTTGAAATTACAATTAGAATTTCATGAACAATCTAGAACACTTCTCAACTTTCAGGAACATTTAAGAAAGCTTGAGACACTTTAAAATTCAGGTTTAGATTCTAGATGAAATTTTCAGGAGTATTTTGGGACGCTGTGGAACATTCTACAAATCATTCCGAACTTTTGGAAACAATCTTATCAGAATATCTTGAGAATCATTACATGACACTTTAGAAATAACTTAAAACATTCATGAACATATTAGAACATTCTAAAACATGTTCAGAAGTTAGAATTAGAAGTATCAAAGGGCGCTTAAGAATATTTGAGAAGTTTCTGATAACTTCTAGAACATCTACCCATCAAAAATTCAAACTTGTAGAAAATGGGTCATTAATTTGCAAAGTTTTTCTATGGAAAGACCAAGGAAAAGACTCATGTAAGATCTATTGAAGAAATTTGTAATTCTAGAAACTTCAAAAAGCTATGGTCAAGCTCACCAATTATTGCTTTTAAAGTTTTGCACTCCTGTTCTTTCCGCAATTTTGTATGGTTGCAGCCCAGAGCAAATTCTGGTTAAATCCTAGGGGACGACATAAATTGTACTTCCCCAATCTCCAAATGTTTGATAAAGGAGAAATATAATAGATGGGCAGACTCTTCTGGTACATATTTTTACACTGCTTAATGCATGACAATCAACTCAAACCCAAACTTAAACCATTTTCACAATAATTGAAATATGATAAATCACTCTTTAAGAGCAGGGGCAAATTGCGCAGATAAATTAAACAATTCTACGCGTTATTTCTTCGCTAATATGACTAATAACAATCCTAACAATTAAGATAAGGAAATTTGGACTTACCAATCTGTTATTAGGTGGAATGGCATCATCTTTCCAGGCATATTTAAAGTTGCCACCGGCTAACGTTTTACCATCCTCCTTGAATACCCAAGTGGTACAATTCAGTGTAGCCCCCAAAACGATTGGAGCATCACATTCGATTTTCAGTTCGAACCCAAAACCTGCAAATGCAAAATGATTGTGCAATCTAATTGTTGAAAAAGATAAGGCGTAGATGCTTACCCGAATTGAAATGTATCACGAGGAAAATTGAAATGGGGAAAATTGTAGAAAACATTTCTTTTTAAAAATTTAAATGGGTGGAATTGTTTTTGTGTGTAGTAGAAGAAAAAAAAAACATGTCAGTGTCAGAAAAATCAGCTGTGGTACGGTGTTGCCAATAGTGATGCCTTTTCCCATGATTTTTAAAATTTACAAAATAATTAAAGAAAAACATAATTACTTAAGATATTTATTTCAAATATATCACACATCAAATAAACAAACTACATTTTCATTCATCAGAACCCAGTCAAACAAAATAAAATATTCAAGTAAACAAAACTTTTAGGATAAAATAAACCATTTTGTGCAATACGAACTAAAATAATTATAAAAGTGCCATTTAAAATAAACCTAAAACTACTTATTATGAACCTAATAATTAAAAATTTGCGTCAGTAGTGAACATACTGTTCTCCTCTGCGTCTCCAGTCACGCCAACTTTCTGATACTCTCCCACCTTTTTTTCAAAAAAGTTGGTCTTTCCCTCTACAGAAATAATATTCATAAAATCAAAAGGATTAGTAACATTGTAGATTTTGTCACAACCAAGCTCAGACAACAATCTGTCAGCTACAAACTCAATGTACTGACACATAAGATTGCAGTTCATGCCAATAAGACTAACAGGCAGGGCATCTGACAAGAACTCTTGCTCAATAATAACAGCATCTTTAATAATACTTGTCACTCGTTCTTTTGAAGGTTTTTGTACAAGATGTGAGAATAAGAGGCAAGCAAAGTCACAATGCAATCCTTCATCTCTGGAAATAAGTTCATTTGAAAAAGTAAGCCCAGGCATAAGTCCACGTTTCTTGAGCCAGAAAATTGATGCAAAACTGCCAGAAAAAAAGATGCCTTCAACTGCAGCAAAAGCCACAATCCGTTCACCAAAGGTAGAGGTTTTCGAGTTGATCCATTTCAAAGCCCAATCGGCCTTCTTTTTGACACAAGGCAAAGTTTCAACAGCATTAAACAAAAACTGCTTCTCTTTTGGATCATTGATATAAGTCTCAATAAGCATACTGTACATTTCTGAGTGGATATTTTCAATAGCAATTTGAAAACCATAAAAACATCTTGCTTCAGTTACTTGTACTTCCTGACTGAATCGTTCCACGAGATTTTCATTTACAATACCATCAGATGCTGCAAAAAAGGCCAAAACATGCGAGATAAAGTGCCTTTCATTGTCAGTGAGACTTTTCCAGTCGCCAAGGTCCAAAGATAAATCAACTTCTTCGGTAGTCCAAAAGGAGGCTTCGGCTTTCTTGTATTTTTCCCAAATGTCTGGATATTCGATGGGGAAAACTACGAAGCGTCTAGGGTTTTCTCGTAGCAAGGGTTCAAGTTCTGGATCAAATTGTTTGTAGTCGTCACCGTCTTGAATGGGTGGGGTGTATTTGATGGATTCTTTTTGGATGATGTTGGCTTTTGAGGGGGACAATACCATTCGGTCAACTTTTGTAGGCAGGCGGTTGGTGTCGACGATTTCGTTTTCTTTACCATAGGAAGGCATATTGAACTGAAATAAATTTGTCAATTATTGCATGATTCATTAATAATTTTGGCGGGATTTTGTAAGGACATCATGGAGCTTTATTTTTAGGTTAGATGTTTGTTGGAAATTTCCGTTGAGGAAATATTATAAAAGATACTGAATGGTTCAATGATAAGAAAGACCTCCCACAGAGGCTACTGAAATTAATTTTGGCCCTAATTTTATGAAATATTTTAATACATATTTACAAAGAAAACTTCCACCAAAACATTTATGTATGATAGATTGTCCCTTGGACTTACCGTTTACAATAAACTGGACAAAAAAATTAAACAAAATCAACTAAAAATATACAAAATTCAAGACACGATGCTCACATGAATAAACCGGGTCTAAAACGAAATATAAGGCGCCAAACATTTTAACATTTTCCTCCACCTCCTGTTTGTTTTATAACATCTGTCACTTCATATCTATATCCATTTCGGCTTTAGGATCAGGCGATTATGTGTTTATCTTTGTCTTGCACAGTACAAGGATAGGCACTTAAATGAATTTGTTATGTCAAATAATGAAAAGATTATGGTATTTTGTTGGCGGGAATCTTTATTCTACATTTCTAGGGTTAGAATCTATAATTTTTCTAAAAAAATATTCTTTATAATAAACAAAAATATCTATTTAGATTATATTTGTGATATACAGCAATAATTATTAAAATTAATAGAATTTTTCTTAGTTGATATTTAAAAAAACAAACTTCTGGATTTTCGAGTTTTTAGTGCTGCCATCTTTCAGATATATATCAAGTTAAAATGTTTATAGGCATTTCTAAAAGTGCTTTGCGAAGTTACAGTGGCGCCATCTCATGAAATACTTTCCAACTATTCTTCAAAATTCAAATTATTGAGGTTTTCAGAGATTCTATTGTAGTTATTTACCTAACAAACAGTGCTGGATTTAGGGAGGTAAAATTTTAAGCGGCGGTAGAAGGCGGCGAAGCCGCCTTTTCTGTTCCATAATATTTATAAAAAAAAAAACTCCAACAATCATGTTATAAGATCTGTTCCAACCCGCCAAAAAACCGTCCAAGAACGGTTTGGGAACCACGTATATCAATTTCGGATTCTTTGCACAAATTTTACGTTTTGCGCAGAATCCTGATGGTGAAATGGACGGTTCCCTGCTGGGTTGGAGCAAAGCTATCAATTTTAAATAAATTAATAAAGAGAGTTTGGCAGTCCAGTCGCCGGAAAAAGATAAATTGTAATTTCCTGATAGGAATTGCGGTTTTGTTCTAAAATTAAACCGTTACGGACCAGTTTTTCAATAGCGAGTCACCTGCGGGTTGGTCTTACCTCCAGGGTAACTAGGGTAAGTGTGTCCAGTTGCTATATGTTTATTCCGGAGTTATGCTGCAAGGGTTGCCATTTTTTTTCCAGAAAATAACGGACGGACAGCCCCAGGGCCTGTATTCTCGTAACCAGGGAACACCGTTCTCTCAAGAGAACGGTTGCTCTATCTTTGTCAGTATTATGGAAATAACAATATGGATGACTAAGACAGAGCAATCGTTCTCTTGAGAGAACCCTGTTCCCTGGAGACGAGAATACGGGCCCAGGTCAACAAAACATTTAACAAACAAAAAAAAACAGCTTTTGACGTCATATATTATTTTGGATAGTGGCGGTGCGGAGGCGCGATAATTTCCTGGTCTTAAGGTTTAAAGTCAGGCATATAGTTTATTACAGCAACGCGAGATGTCAGTACTGTCGCCCCTATAGTGTGCCCTAACTTGATAGTCAAAAAAAAAATAGAAATCTGCATTTGATTAAATTGTGTGATGGAAAGTTTTTTCTTTTTTTTCGGAAATTCGAAGTATTATTCTGTTTTACATAAACAGGGTTGTAGTTTGGACCAACACAAATAATTTTGAACGTTCATCCGTCGGATTTTTGTTTAAACAGTGTAGCTGCAGGCGTATTTCCAACTATTCTTGCAGTAGCGAGAAAACTACAAGTTCAAAAAATTTGAAAAAAATATATGTCGCGTAGAATTGCAATAGTAGTTCGTAATAAAAAATAATAAAAAACTCATTCCTTCGTCCACTCGCTCCTTCGTCGCTCGTGTCCAAATTTTGAATTCGTGCGGGAATATGTGGCCTTCTGCAACTTGTATTTTAATATACTATTATACTGCTATGGCGGCCATCTTGTTTGACGTATTCCAAACAAACGCAACATCTGTGACGGTGTCACCACATAATTTATTGAACTACATCATTTTTCTGGTAAAACGACACCACTTGCACCTTCTCTTCATTAACTTTTCCACGGGACACACAATGCTCCCATACTATTATGACCTTTCAAAGTTTTCCAAAATCTAAATCATATGGCAGCTACCTCAGTGGTACCTACTTAAACGATGAAATTTCAAAAAAAAAAATTGTTGAGATTCTGTAGCTAAATGATCATTTAGGTCCCCTAAAACTCCATACACTAAATTATTCTGGGATTTGGAGCCGGATTTTATGAAAAAAGGCACTCAGAAAAATTGAAAAATTGATAAATCGCCCCAAATTGCTAAACAGGATTTTATTTCTGGAACTATAAGTTCAAATGAGATGAAATTTTCAGGAATTGTAGTCCTCTACCGAAATGAAAATCGCTGCAAATTTCAGCTTTCTATCCATAATAGAAAAAAAGTTATGACCTTTCAAATTTCTCCAAAATCTAAATCATAAGTTAGCTACCTAACTACTAAAACGATGAAATTTCATTTTTTTTTTTTGTTAAGACTTTGTTTCCTAATGGTCCTTTGGGATTCTCCAAACTCCATACACTAAATTATTCTGAGATTTGGAGCCGGACTCTATGAAAAAAGTTACTCAGAAAAATTTAAAAATTGATAAATCACCCCAAATTGCTTAACACAATTTCATTTCTGGAACTATAAGACCAAATGAGTTGATATTTCAGGAATTGTAATCCTCTACTGGAATGAGAATCGCTGAAAATTTCAGCTTTCTATTTCCAATAGAAGAAAAGTTATGACCTTTCAAAGTTTTCCAAAATCTAAGGTACCTTACTACTAGAACAATGAAATTTCAAAATTTTTTTTGTTGAGATTTTGTTTCCTAATGGTCTTTTGGGGTACCCCAAACTCCATACACTAAATTAATTCGAGATTTGGAGCCAGATTCTATGAAAAAAGACACTCAGAAAAATTGAAAAATTAATAAGCTCACTCCAAATTGCTTAACACCAGTGGCGGCTCGTCAGAGGAGGCAGGGGAGGCTAAACCTCCCCCAAAAAATTGAAAATTCAATCTCAATTTGTTATTCCTGATTTCTAATTAAAATAATAATTAACAAATTACACTTTCCAATTTTCGATATTTCAATGTAATTTAGAAAAATCTGACAACATTATGTCAATCAATCCCACGCCTCCACGAAAAATATCTGTGAATGTGGGATATTCAGTAATACCGGCCCAAAGGGCCGGAGTTATACGCGAGCACGAAGGGCCGGAGTTATACGCGAGCCCGAAGGGCCGGAGTTATACGCGAGCCCGAAGGGCCGGAGTTATACGCGAGCCCGAAGGGCCGGAGTTATACGCGAGCCCGAAGGCCTAGAGTTATTTTAATCACGGGGCTTAGTTTATAATTCTATTGGTCATCGGATAATTTAGAGCTAATTAAAAACCGGGAGTATTTAAAATTCGATTTTTAGCGTCCGATCAAAGAATAGGGAATATTCAAAAACTTTAGTTTTATCAAATTGGCTTTGGAATGTTGGTTTTCTTAAGATTTTTACTTTTTTCAAAAAACGGTGGTTTTTGCAAACATATACTACTTTATCATTGTCTTTGTCTTACTCACTATAATCAATAAGGAAACCTTGTAATGTCATTTTCATTGAAATTAAACTAAAAACAAGTTTCCTATGATTTATTTGGGGAATTTTAATTATTATAATCATTAATAATTAATTATTAAATTGAATTTTAAACAAAAAACCCTTTTAAAATGTTATTTTTGTTTTCCGAACTGAGATGTGGCAACGTTGTTTTAGTTGGCCATTTTGAAGTGACGCCTTGTAATTTTTTGCCAGTTTTTCCTCGAATTTTTCACTTTTCCGGAGCTTTTCAATGGAAAAAGGCAATTTAACATACGACGCTTTGAGTTTTCTTCATTTTCTAGCAAAAATGTCCAGTTTTAAAATGACATAAATAACAAAATCCCATTTAAAATGGTTTTTTTGGAAGTTTTGATGTGGCAACACCGTTTGTACCAACTTCAAATAGGTTTTGTAATAAATGTCATTTGCCAGTTTTGACAGTCGGCAATTTTTAATTGACGTGTTTACATTTCTATCCAGTTTTTCCTCGAATTTTCCGCTTTTCCAAGCTGTTTTCGTCAAGAAAACCGATTTGAAATACAAGGCTTTGAATTTCCTACATTTTGTGCTAAAAATTCCCAGTTTTCCGATGGAGTAAATGACAAAAACTCAAATTTCATTAAGTAGGCTTTGGAATGTCATTTTTAGAAGTTTTTCTTTGAATTTGTCCGCTTTTCCAGGGCTTGTCTGGTCGGAAAAACCGATTTAAAGTACGAGGCTTTGAGTTTTCTTCATTTTCTACCAAAAATTTCCAGTGTTTTAACGGGGTAAGTGAGAAAAACTTTAGTTTTATCAAGTAGGTTTTGGAATGTCATTCTCGTTGGTTTTTTGGAATTTTTATTTAAGGTTTTTGGGGTCCAGGGATCGTTCTCAATCACTTTTTTTTCTCGAAATTCGCAAAATAAAAAAAAAAATTTGATGTTGACAGCTGTCAATTTTTTTTGACACAAATCGATAGTTAGCGTCGCGAAACTGCCTTGTACCGGGGTTTGATTTTCGTAGCTTTTATAGTAGAGCGGGGAAAAAGTCGAACATGTGTCAAATTTGACAGGTGACATTTGTCAATATTGCCAAAGTGTCGTGCGACAAAAGTTTTATCCGAACGAACCCGTTCATTGTTAACTGATTTTTCATACTCCAGCCCTTCGGGCCGTAATCTTTGAAACAAAAATAATGGATTACGAAACGAATTGAAAGAAATTAAACAGGTTCTAAACAAGAGAGAGCAAAAGGATCTACTGAAAAATATTATTATACAGGGTATTCCCCTTCAACAAAATGAAAATTTGAAAGCAGTTGTGAAAAAGATTGGGGAACACCTGGATGCTCCAATCAGTGGAAACTTTACAGCATTTCGCTTGGGAGAAGACAGAAAAACTTGTCCGCCTGTAAAAGTTGTGTTCGACGAACAAACGGATGAGGATACGATTGTGAAGTCTAAGAAAAAGTTCAATTTAGAGAGTAAATCCCTTGGATTTGCCCAAAACAATAAAATATTTATCAATCAGGACTTAACAAAAACTAATTTAAAGCTTATGTCCTCAGCACGAATATTCAAGAATGATAACAATTACAAGTATCTGTGGTTTAGTGGTGGAAATATCCTCTTACG